ACCAGCAGAAGCAGTAGCAATGCGGTTCAGTATGACTCCCTTATAGATATATAGATATATCTTGCATTTCATAAATAAAGGAATTGCTAAATTATAATATAGAATTATTATATTGAAGTATAAGAATGCATTTATTAGATCACCACATTGAGATTAGTAATATTAAGTGTATATGCACTTAATTTTGTAACCACCTTTATGTTGAATATATTTTATACGAATAGTATAAATTAATAATTAGGGTTGTAATAGATTACGTTAATTAATAGGTAGAGAAATCCTCATTAAGCAGTTAAGTGAATAGATATGTAACTGAATATTGTAGGCATTGGGGGATTTATTACATGAATTCTGGGAGTTTACTAAAAGTAGTGAAGGTGAGTGTTAATGCATTCTAAAAGGTACCTTTAAACCTACACCCGAGTCGCAAGTCTCAGGCACCACTTGTGGTTCTCTCCCTGAGCCATCAGTGGCCGGTATAAAGGCTAAATCGTCATCATAACTAGTGGGTTTAATAAACATGTATATATGAAAGTATAATTGCTAATTAAGCCGATATCATAATAAGACTATATTGTTTTCTTATTTAATAAAACTTCAATGTACTAATACATAAATAACTATAAATAAGACATGGGATCTTAACATCTCCAGTCAATTCTATCATTCACCCATTGGGCAACCGAAATCCCATGTGGGCGATGCATTATCAAAATTAATATATAATTTTTGAATAGATTTAAATACATGACTAACCATATATATATACCGGTAATAATAATATTACATTTTTATCCTTCAATTAATTCTTATGGAACTTCGGTTCTTTATTACTTAATATATTTATTGTTTATTAGTTCTTGTATTAAGTAAATTTATAAACTTTACATGCTATGTTTGTAATATAGCAATTATCAACATTATATATTGGATTGACCAATATTGAGGTGTTGATGGCATTGTGCTATCACACTACTCTATTATTATTATTTATCGTACTGCAATTACCGGTGATTTCCAATGTCACATTATAGGGCCGAAAGGATTATCCATTAGTAAGTTCTGGTGTTTGTGTGACCTCCTAGTTTCTGTTATATATACTGATCTCCAATGTCACATTATATGTAGCCGATATATTCCCCATTAAGTAAGCTACGTGACCGAGTGATGCTGGAATTTAGTTTCGAGATCGGGCAGTCTCTTTGACAGTCTCTCTATCGCCACATAGAACCGAAGGAGTCAATATCCATAAGTAAGCTTCTGTGTCGTGAGTGATCCTGAATTCAGTCTCGATCTGCCTCTGGCAACTATATCTTTATCTACTTACTTTAAGCATCGCAAGCTTGGTAAAACCACTTGTAATGTTGATTTAATAATATAAACTAATCTTGTTTTGGTGCTGAGAATACTCATCCCATCTCACCTTCAAATGGTGTATATTGCAACCCTACTTTGCACATCCCATCTTATTTATTAAAATCATAATGATTCAATGATTCATTTATATACCTTATAATTATTATTCATAACATATACTCTGTATCATAATTTGTATTTTAAAGATATGTATTTATCTCGCAGTTATTACTCCATCATATACCAATAAAAGAATCTATAGTTACTACACATACACAACGGGTCCACGATACTAGACGATCACAAATATTATTTATATGGTCAAATGATAAAGATTAAGTGTTCCTCTGCATGTTGATCTATATATTTAGTTAATTCTATTAATTCTATTATTTAGAGAGACAAGAGTTGTTTTCTCTCTTCTACAAAATTTGTTTAGTAGTAAGGCAATGAGTGTTCCAGTGATAAATAATATATATTATGATAATATTTTCTCCTTAAGTTTTATTGTAATATACCTACACAATATCGTACTAAGTAACGTGTTCCCTCGTTACACATTTCTTTAATAGTAATGAAAAACCTAGACCGACCCTGTTCACTTCATCTAGGATTGAAGTTTTAAGCTATTAAGCTTAATTAATGTTCCTTCTTTTGAAACCGAATTTCATTTTTTTTTTTTTTTTATTATAGATATATGTAAATTAACTGACCCGGCAAACCTTGTTTTGCTTTAAAATTAACTAGCTGTACCCGCGACTTCGTCCGTGTGGAATAGTGACCTTTACCAAATAAATAATAAATATTTAATAATTTAACTCGAAAAATCCAAAGAAAAAAGATTCATCGTACTAGTTTTGAAAAGGACGAATTTCTTCATCATCATCATCTTTCATCTTATATTTCATTTTACCCTCTTAAGGATAACATTTTACAAACTTAGAATGTCATATTTATTTATATTTAGTCAGCAGCCTAAAAAAAAAAATATTATTAATTAAATTATAACATTATAAATTAAAGCTTACAAGATCTGACTTTAAGAATGACAATATTTTCATATAGCCTTTCATTTCCCCTTTCAACACTTTTTCGCATTAAAAAAAAAGTATTGGCTCTACATTATCTGTGTACCAAATTTCAATTAAATAAGTTCAGTAGTTTTGGCGTGAAAGCGAGACAAACAGACAGACTGAGTTGCTTTAGCATTTATATTATTTGTAAGAATATCGCTATTAAAAATAGGGGTTGGTGAAAGACGGGCCAAAATTTAGGCGTGTATATATATTTTTAATGTAACATTATAAATAAATAAAAATTTGTCCATAATACAAAAAAAAAAAAACGTATAGCCCGATTTTGATATGTACAAGTATAAATTTATCAAAATAGGGCTATACCGACAGCATATCAAAATCCACTGATTCTGAATAATTACTAAGACTTTTAGTTCGTATTCAGTTATCTGCAGTACAAGCGTACGTTCAAATCGTCTAAAGTTAACAAGACAAAAGCGTCGAAGGTGGTTTATAACTATGGGCAGATTCCGTGCTGTTCGTATCGCCTTCCCTCCTTCTTCGTTCGTATACCCTGTATTACTACTCATACACACACACACATGCGCCCCTGTAATTTCTTCTTCATCAGTCGTTCACTATTGGCGACCACTCCGGTCGTGGTCTTATCCTTGTGTATGGTTATGTGTGTCTTATATTGTGGTCTTTGGCGACAGAGCTCCTTGTAATTTGCCTCGGTACGGTACGGTTTTTGGCTGCATGAGAACATTGTACAATGGCCTGCTGTGTAGCCGTTCTTATAATGTCAATCCATCTCGTTGGCAATCGACACCAAGAACTTCTGCTCTCAACCAAACCTTGGATAATTAGGCTCCATACAGTGTTCGTTCCGGCTAATGTGACCAACATACTTGAGTTATACGTAGTGATTCCGAAATAATTTTCAATGTCATATTTTATTGTTATTGTAGCCAGTCCTGAACCTATTTCATTTAAATTTAATTCGGTCCAGTAGTTTCGGTTTAATAGCGCGACGTATGTCTGTATAGACAGACCGAGTTACTGTCGCTTTATGACATAAGGAATATACAAATGTAAGGAATAGAATAGAATAGAATAGAATAGAATAGAATAGAATAGAATAGAATAGAAAATCATTTATTCAAATAAACTTACGGGAATAATCAAAAGTCAAAGTGAGAATAAAAGATTTAATTCTTAATAATAACTATTAATTATACTCGTATAATACATTTACAACTTAAAATTAACGGTCGACACAGACAATAGTATGCGATACGTCACAGTTCAGGGAGGAGTGGTGGTCCGTCGGCGACCGGGTAGTCATGCACTCACACTACACTTACAGTCACTCGTCGCGCAATACTTAGTTATATTTAAAACACAATATACAAACGTGTAATCGATACGAAATCCAGTGACAGTCGTCAACCATCACTTTCAAGGACGTCGAGAAGCCACTACCGTCACTGAATTTTGGATTACTAAAGTTCAACAGCATATTTTGTACTATACTCGCATACAATTTTTGGAAGAGGTCCTGGTCGTAGAGCGCGGCGGGGGGCGGGGGAGGGGGGGGGAGGGGCGGCGGAGGCGGGGACCTCAGCCAGAGAGGTCTCCGTGGTCGAAGAGGTCCTGGTCGTAGAGCGCGGCGGGGGGGGCGGGGGCGGGGACCGCAGCCCGAGAGGTCCCCGTGGTCGAAGAGGTCCTGGTCGTAGAGCGCGGCGGGGGGGGCGGGGGCGGGGGCGGGGACCTCAGCCCGAGAGGTCCCCGTGGTCGAAGAGGTCCTGGTCGTAGAGCGCGGCGAGGGGGGGCGGGGGCGGGGACCTCAGCCCGAGAGGTCCCCGTGGTCGAAGAGGTCCTGGTCGTAGAGCGCGGCGAGGGGGGGCGGGGGCGGGGACCTCAGCCCGAGAGGTCCCCGTGGTCGAAGAGGTCCTGGTCGTAGAGCGCGGCGAGGGGGGGGGGGGGCGGGGACCTCAGCCCGAGAGGTCCCCGTGGTCGAAGAGGTCCTGGTCGTAGAGCGCGGCGAGGGGGGGCGGGGGCGGGGACCTCAGCCCGAGAGGTCCCCGTGGTCGAAGAGGTCCTGGTCGTAGAGCGCGGCGGGGGGGGGGGGGGCGGGGGCGGGGACCTCAGCCCGAGAGGTCCCCGTGGTCGAAGAGGTCCTGGTCGTAGAGCGCGGCGAGGGGGGGCGGGGGCGGGGACCTCAGCCCGAGAGGTCCCCGTGGTCGAAGAGGTCCTGGTCGTAGAGCGCGGCGGGGGGCGGGGGAGGGGGGGGGAGGGGCGGCGGAGGCGGGGACCTCAGCCCGAGAGGTCTCCGTGGTCGAAGAGGTCCTTGTCGCAGAGCGAGGCGGGGGGGCGTGGGGGCGGTGGCGGGGACCTCAGCCCGAGAGGTCCCCGTGGTCGAAGAGGTCCTGGTCGTAGAGCGCGGCGAGGGGGGGCGGGGGCGGGGACCTCAGCCCGAGAGGTCCCCGTGGTCGAAGAGGTCCTGGTCGTAGAGCGCGGCGGGGGGGGCGGGGGCGGGGGCGGGGACCTCAGCCCGAGAGGTCCCCGTGGTCGAAGAGGTCCTGGTCGTAGAGCGCGGCGAGGGGGGGGGGGGGCGGGGACCTCAGCCCGAGAGGTCCCCGTGGTCGAAGAGGTCCTGGTCGTAGAGCGCGGCGAGGGGGGGCGGGGGCGGGGACCTCAGCCCGAGAGGTCCCCGTGGTCGAAGAGGTCCTGGTCGTAGAGCGCGGCGCGCACGGTGCGTCCTCCGAAGTATCGTCCGTGCAGCGCGGCGGCGGCGGCGCCCGCCTCCTCGGACCCCGCGAACTGCACGAAGATCTTGACGTGCGCCTGCGCCGGGTCGTCCTCCTCGCTCTGCCGCTCGTTGTAGATCACCAGCCGCTCCACGCGCCCCCACTTCGAACACTCCTCCTGCGCACGACCGGATCGGTTTATATGATGACATGATGCGTTCATAAAGATCATTAAAGAATAAAAAAAAAAAGAAAAGGAACGAGGGCCCCAGATGGGATCCTTGAGGAACACCTTAAGGCACTACTCTCGATTTGGACTTAAATTCATGTAGTATAACGAGTTGTGAACGATTTCTTAGTTAGGAATCACGGCATCGTTAACAAAGAATCACATATACCAGCGAGTTCTAATTTATTAATGAAGTATATTGTGGTCGACGATATCAAAAGCTTTGCTAAAGTCAGTGTATATGGCATGTAGATTCGCCTGGAAAACTATGTTAATAAGGATCTATGGTGTGTTCAAAGATATTTTATTTTTTTTATGTTGTGTATCTGAGAATATTGAAATTGGGTCGTAGCTAGTAATATCATTTAGGTCCGTCTAGAGTGAATGATGCGGGTGAGTGCGGAGTGTGCGGGCGAGCGGGGCGCACCTGTATCTCGTGGTGCAGCGCGTCGTCCACCTCGTCCGCGGAGACCATGTTGCAGAGCAGCAGCGTGCGCGAGGCGCGGCGCCGCATGAGGCGCTGCATCACCAGGTGGCGCGCCGACTGGCCCGAGATGGACAGCGACTCCTGCTGCTGCAGCGTGTCGGGCGAGGACTCGAGCAGCTTGCGCTGCAGCGCCGCCTGCGCCACCAGCGCGCCGTCGTCGGGGTCGGCGTCGCGCGGCGCGGCGGGCGCGGGCGGCGCGGGCGGCGCGGGGGGCGCGGGCGGCGGCGGCAGCGCGCCCGCCAGCGTCACGGGCAGCGCCACGGGCAGCGACACGGGCAGCGCCACGGGCAGCGTGACGGGCAGCGCGGCGGGCAGCGCGGAGGGCAGCGCGGCGGCCAGCGACGGCAGCGCGGCGGCGGCGGACACGCCGAGCGCGTTGAGCTTGGTGAGGCCGAGCGCGACCGCGTTGCTCGCCACCGCGTCCATCGCCTGCGCACACTCCTCCGTATACATCCAGCTCCGTACTCACGACGACGGCCGCTCCCGGCGGACCGTGATCCGCCGCGAGTGGCTCGTATCGCACGTAAAAAAAAACAGAACATACGATTTTTGAAAATTGTAATATACGGTAGGGCAAAAATGGTATTCTAAAATTAAACATAGTAGGGACAAAATGGCTAAAGTAATGTTAGATGACCGATATTTAACTCTTTCGGTTTCTTTTCTTGATTCTATTATAGTTTCTTGGTTTTTATAAAGTTGATTAATTATTCTCCTCTGTAATCTATTTTTGTTTTCAATTTACATTATCAAAGGTTTTCTCTAAGTCTATGAATGCAATACGAGACTCCCTCCCAATCTAATATTGAACGTATTGCTATTATTGCTTGCCGCGTCCCTTTGTTCCTTCTAAAACAGGCCCTATAAAATGCTGTATGTGGTGTTATTATGTTTGTATAATTTTTAAAAATATTTTGGAAATATGTGATAAGTCAGCTTAATGTTCTTCACATTTTAATGTATTTGCTTTCTTTGTGAGTGTTACTGTCTTACTTAATGAATAATCTTTTGGTATGTTACCTGTTTCATATAATTTATCTGGTACTATACAATTATTTATACCCTTAATAATTTCTGTATATATCATCGTTACCAGCTGCTTTGACATTTTGAACACTAGTCACTACTTTGTCAAATTCTTGTCTTAATATTAGTGGTGCTATATTGTCTATATCTATTATGTCTTTGTATATCCTTATCAAATAAGCCTTGACCATAGTATGAATTTCATGTGTGTATGTTATTCATCTATTTACTATGTCATTGTTATTAAATAATATTCTGCTATTTTCATCTAATGCTACACTGCTTTTTGGGTGGGCATGGCGGAGGCCTGCGGGGCGGGGTGGGGCCTCACCTGTATCTTGGCGGTGGCGGCGGCGGCGGCGACGGCGGCGGCGGTGGGCATGGCGGAGGCCTGCGGGGCGGGGTGGGGCCTCACCTGTATCTTGGCGGTGGCGGCGGCGGCGGCGACGGCGGCGGCGGTGGGCATGGCGGAGGCCTGCGGGGCGGGGTGGGGCCTCACCTGTATCTTGGCGGTGGCGGCGGCGGCGGCGACGGCGGCGGCGGTGGGCATGGCGGAGGCCTGCGGGGCGGGGTGGGGCCTCACCTGTATCTTGGCGGTGGCGGCGGCGGCGGCGACGGCGGCGGCGGTGGGCATGGCGGAGGCCTGCGGGGCGGGGTGGGGCCTCACCTGTATCTTGGCGGTGGCGGCGGCGGCGGCGACGGCGGCGGCGGTGGGCATGGCGGAGGCCTGCGGGGCGGGGTGGGGCCTCACCTGTATCTTGGCGGTGGCGGCGGCGGCGGCGACGGCGGCGGCGGCGACGGCGGCGGCGGTGGGCATGGCGGAGGCCTGCGGGGCGGGGTGGGGCCTCACCTGTATCTTGGCGGTGGCGGCGGCGGCGGCGACGGCGGCGGCGGTGGGCATGGCGGAGGCCTGCGGGGCGGGGTGGGGCCTCACCTGTATCTTGGCGGTGGCGGCGGCGGCGGCGACGGCGGCGGCGGTGGGCATGGCGGAGGCCTGCGGGGCGGGGTGGGGCCTCACCTGTATCTTGGCGGTGGCGGCGGCGGCGGCGACGGCGGCGGCGGTGGGCATGGCGGAGGCCTGCGGGGCGGGGTGGGGCCTCACCTGTATCTTGGCGGTGGCGGCGGCGGCGGCGACGGCGGCGGCGGTGGGCATGGCGGAGGCCTGCGGGGCGGGGTGGGGCCTCACCTGTATCTTGGCGGTGGCGGCGGCGGCGGCGACGGCGGCGGCGGTGGGCATGGCGGAGGCCTGCGGGGCGGGGTGGGGCCTCACCTGTATCTTGGCGGTGGCGGCGGCGGCGGCGGCGGCGACGGCGGCGGCGGTGGGCATGGCGGAGGCCTGCGGGGCGGGGTGGGGCCTCACCTGTATCTTGGCGGTGGCGGCGGCGGCGGCGACGGCGGCGGCGGTGGGCATGGCGGAGGCCTGCGGGGCGGGGTGGGGCCTCACCTGTATCTTGGCGGTGGCGGCGGCGGCGGCGACGGCGGCGGCGGTGGGCATGGCGGAGGCCTGCGGGGCGGGGTGGGGCCTCACCTGTATCTTGGCGGTGGCGGCGGCGGCGGCGGCGGCGGCGGCGACGGCGGCGGCGGTGGGCATGGCGGAGGCCTGCGGGGCGGGGTGGGGCCTCACCTGTATCTTGGCGGTGGCGGCGGCGGCGGCGACGGCGGCGGCGGTGGGCATGGCGGAGGCCTGCGGGGCGGGGTGGGGCCTCACCTGTATCTTGGCGGTGGCGGCGGCGGCGGCGACGGCGGCGGCGGTGGGCATGGCGGAGGCCTGCGGGGCGGGGTGGGGCCTCACCTGTATCTTGGCGGTGGCGGCGGCGGCGGCGACGGCGGCGGCGGTGGGCATGGCGGAGGCCTGCGGGGCGGGGTGGGGCCTCACCTGTATCTTGGCGGTGGCGGCGGCGGCGGCGACGGCGGCGGCGGTGGGCATGGCGGAGGCCTGCGGGGCGGGGTGGGGCCTCACCTGTATCTTGGCGGTGGCGGCGGCGGCGGCGACGGCGGCGGCGGTGGGCATGGCGGAGGCCTGCGGGGCGGGGGGGGGCCTCACCTGTATCTTGGCGGTGGCGGCGGCGGCGGCGACGGCGGCGGCGGTGGGCATGGCGGAGGCCTGCGGGGCGGGGTGGGGCCTCACCTGTATCTTGGCGGTGGCGGCGGCGGCGGCGACGGCGGCGGCGGTGGGCATGGCGGAGGCCTGCGGGGCGGGGTGGGGCCTCACCTGTATCTTGGCGGTGGCGGCGGCGGCGGCGACGGCGGCGGCGGTGGGCATGGCGGAGGCCTGCGGGGCGGGGTGGGGCCTCACCTGTATCTTGGCGGTGGCGGCGGCGGCGGCGACGGCGGCGGCGGTGGGCATGGCGGAGGCCTGCGGGGCGGGGTGGGGCCTCACCTGTATCTTGGCGGTGGCGGCGGCGGCGGCGACGGCGGCGGCGGTGGGCATGGCGGAGGCCTGCGGGGCGGGGTGGGGCCTCACCTGTATCTTGGCGGTGGCGGCGGCGGCGGCGACGGCGGCGGCGGTGGGCATGGCGGAGGCCTGCGGGGCGGGGTGGGGCCTCACCTGTATCTTGGCGGTGGCGGCGGCGGCGGCGACGGCGGCGGCGGTGGGCATGGGCTGGCGGAGGCCTGCGGGGCGGGGTGGGGCCTCACCTGTATCTTGGCGGTGGCGGCGGCGGCGGCGACGGCGGCGGCGGTGGGCATGGCGGAGGCCTGCGGGGCGGGGTGGGGCCTCACCTGTATCTTGGCGGTGGCGGCGGCGGCGGCGACGGCGGCGGCGGTGGGCATGGCGGAGGCCTGCGGGGCGGGGTGGGGCCTCACCTGTATCTTGGCGGTGGCGGCGGCGGCGGCGACGGCGGCGGCGGTGGGCATGGCGGAGGCCTGCGGGGCGGGGTGGGGCCTCACCTGTATCTTGGCGGTGGCGGCGGCGGCGGCGACGGCGGCGGCGGTGGGCATGGCGGAGGCCTGCGGGGCGGGGTGGGGCCTCACCTGTATCTTGGCGGTGGCGGCGGCGGCGGCGACGGCGGCGGCGGTGGGCATGGCGGAGGCCTGCGGGGCGGGGTGGGGCCTCACCTGTATCTTGGCGGTGGCGGCGGCGGCGGCGACGGCGGCGGCGGTGGGCATGGCGGAGGCCTGCGGGGCGGGGTGGGGCCTCACCTGTATCTTGGCGGTGGCGGCGGCGGCGGCGACGGCGGCGGCGGTGGGCATGGCGGAGGCCTGCGGGGCGGGGTGGGGCCTCACCTGTATCTTGGCGGTGGCGGCGGCGGCGGCGACGGCGGCGGCGGTGGGCATGGCGGAGGCCTGCGGGGCGGGGTGGGGCCTCACCTGTATCTTGGCGGTGGCGGCGGCGGCGGCGACGGCGGCGGCGGTGGGCATGGCGGAGGCCTGCGGGGCGGGGTGGGGCCTCACCTGTATCTTGGCGGTGGCGGCGGCGGCGGCGACGGCGGCGGCGGTGGGCATGGCGGAGGCCTGCGGGGGCCCGGCGAGCGCGTTGGGCGGGGTGATGGCGCGGCCGACGCGCAGGTACTGGCCGCCGAGGTCGAACAGGTTCATGGAGGCGATGGCCTCGAGCGCGGCGGCCAGCGTGGCGTACTCTATGAACCCGTAGCCCTTGTGCTTGTGCGCCGAGGCGCCGTACGCCAGCTTGCAGTACGTGATCGGCCCGAACGCCTCGAACACGCTGCGGACCGACACCACGCCCCGTCTCGAGTCACGTGTCACGTGTCGCGTGTCACGCGTCGCGTGTCACGTGTCACGTGTCACGTGTCACGTGTCACGTCTCCCGACGGAGACCGCGGGGAGCGCACCGTATACCGTCGCTCCCCGCGACCTCGGTTCCGAGACGCTTTTAATCACATGGATGCCATCTCAAGCTCATCATAAAAAAATGCAATAGAATTAGAAATAAGTTAAAACTCTAAATTGTGGACTACTAGTGAGTATAGCTGAGGAGAAGTTAATAAAGTGAGAGGATTGTAGTTAATTGGGTTACTGTTACAGTAATAAAATTATTTAATAAGACTCACAAATATCAAAGAAACATTGAAATAAGATAGGGCAATTTTGAAACTATTTTTTTTTAAATATATATATATATATATATGTGTAACTGTAATGTAACAGAAAAAGTAGTAAAACAAAAGTTGTTCGTTAGCATGGATAGTTTTATGTCTCGGCTCGGTGTACCTTTTATGCAACCTGTTATATAAGACGTGTGCTTACTTTTTGATATCGTCTTCGGTCAGCTCGGGGTGTATGGAGGCGACGTAGATGCGGTTGTACTGTTTGGCTTCTTCTTGTATTTCGTCGATGACCGCTTGTGCCTGAGGCATGTTCGACGGTCGACCCACCACTTTAATGTTTCTGCAACAAACATTTAGGTGTTAATACTTAGTGCGATCAGTCTGTATATACGTCGAGTGTTTGTTATTTCAATATGCCGTATTGTAACATTATCAATCATGCCATATACAACCATTTGTATTTGATATATTATGTTATTTTCGCGATGACGCGCTCGGGCGCCCGTAAAGGGCGGGTTGGATCTCGACCGCGCTCTCTGACGCACGCCACCGACGAGGAACCACCGCCGGCGCAACGACCAACAAAACCCCACTCCGGCCGGCCGGGCCATACAATAACAAACACATTGAAATACAGTCCACATATTTTGAAAATCGAAGATCTTTTAATTGTGATATGAATATAAATTTAACATGACATGTGTGATGTATGTATCAACTTATCTTTAGTCCTGATATTTTTCAAATAATCATGATAATACATACATCTATTAGTTAAAAATATAATGTTTCTATATTCATAGAAAAAATTGTTACAGATCATCATCATCATCATAATTATATATAAAAATTACTTGTCACGTTGTTTGTTCGCGATGTTTTTCTAAACTACTGAACCGATTACAAATTTGATTTGCACATTGTGTGCAAATTGATCCAACTTGAAAGATACGATAGGTTACATCTCAACTTATAGCTTAGCCACATCAACGTGTGGCCGGATCTGCTAGTATTGAGTACATTTTAAAGAAACATGGACATACATTTATTTACTATACTAAACTATAATTGAAATACAATGTCACACTATATGTATAGTGTTGTTGTGTTGTTTATAAAATGTGGGGTGTGGTCACCTTCCGCCGAGCATGACTCCGTTCATCTGCTCGAGACTGAGCTGCGCAGCCTCCGGTATCTCGTACTCCACGAACGCGAACCCCTTGTGCTTCTGCGTGACGGGGTCCCACGACATGTTGATGGACTTGATCGGCCCGAACGGCAGGAAGGCCTGCCGGATCGTGTCCTCCTTCAGCTCGAACGATATCGAGCCCACGTACACCCTGTACACAAACACAAACACAAACGTTTCAATTGAAATAATATTTATTCAAATAAACTTAATATTACTTACATTACTTAATAATAGTAAGTTCACCATCAGGTTAGCCACTGGCTTTTTTGCAATTACAATTATTTATAATATTATAAACAATAAAGTTTGTGAGTATGAATGTTTGTTACTCTTTCACGCAAAAACTACTAAACGGATTTTGATGAAACTTTACAGTATTGTAGTTTATGTAAGAGTATAACACATAAATAGCTTATGTGTTATTCTCATATATAAGCGGCTATAAGCGGCCACAGCTATTATTATATAATATTTATATTATAAAAAGGAATTGGATACTCTGTCGTTATTTAATAACTTTAGTTAATTATTGCGACTCAGATCTTTTCAGCTAAGTTATCATCGGCTCGACCAGCGTGAGCGGGAGCCTCCGGTATCGCTGTCATCACAGTCGCACACTGCTGGTGGTGGTGATGGTGGTGGTGGTGGTGGTGGTGGCGGCGGTGGTGGCGGGCGACGGTCGCCGCTGTTACCTGCACATGAGCGCGAGCGCCTGCTGCCGCTGCACCTGCGTGCGCTGCGACGCCATCTGCTGCTGCTGGTGAGCCAACGTCTGCTTCATCAGCACCTGCACCGACATTCTTACATTAACAACTGATCCACACAACATTTGACGACCTCGGTGGTCTAGCGGTCTAGCACACCGCTTTACGTCCGATGGTCGCGGGTTCGATTCCTCGCACGGCACATACATTTGTATTCATGAGTATGATTGTTTGTATCGGTCTGGGTATTTTCTATGTATAATATGTATGTATTTACGAAAAAAAAAATTATCTATGTATTTGTATCAGTTGTCTAGGACCCATAACACAAGCTTTAGCTAGCTTAACTTGGGTCTAGATGGCGCTGTGTGAATTGTCCTGAGATTATTATTATTATTACACTCCACCACTATTTAGGTCAAAGCAATATAAGGAGGCGCCAGTCTTAAACGCAGGCAGCATGTAAGAATTTCATAGCCATGTTGTATGCCCTTCATAAATGTAATGCGTAACATACATTGCAAAAGTGCTATATTCACAATTGGAACAATATGGTACAAGTCTCTACTACGTTGTCATCTTTTTGAGTTGGAAACTCGATATAGTTTACTCTACTATTACTGAACAGATTTAAATGAAATTTGGTTCACGGATAGTTTAGACCATGAGAAAGAACATAGGCTATTTTATTTTATGCAAGAAAAAAGGGTTCTAATGGGTTAGAAGGACAAGAAAGATTGTATGGAATTGTAGATTAACATAACAACAGTAAACAGTCGCGGCAGAGTTGAGTGTGTATGTATGTATGTATGTTTGTTTGTTTGTTTGTCGTGTGCGGTAGTTACCATCTTGATGCTCTGCTCCATGGCGTACTTCTTGGCTCGTCCGACTGCGTCCGCCTGCTCGGCCGACAGTCGCGGCAGGGAGCCCCCCAGGATGGCCGGCAGTGTGGGGCAGCGCGCGCCCGGACCTGAACCGGAGACACACCATACACACCATACACACCATACACACACATCTTTTCGAATTTAGAATTCGAACGTCGCCACTGTCGTACTAGAAGGTCGCAAGACCGTTACCGCTCACTGGTATACCATTGTTCGTGTGCCACAAGTCATCACCGAATTTCGACAAGGCACTTCATGACGTCGTATACGTACGTCGCACACCGCCCGCCGAACAAAGATGTTTTCGAGCACCCTGTAGGGTCCTACACTCATGACTTTTAAATTAAAGCTTTTTTTGGACTGTAACTTCGTATAATAATTGAAATAAGTAATACAGATAATTATAATGGAATAATGAGCGCGCGTGTATTATTCGGTGGCGAGATCAGAAGTGAGGTCCGGTGCTATCCGCACCCCCTCGAGCCGCGCCCCGCAGCACCGACAATGTCCGAACACATCCAAAATATCGAAATTTTAGATCATCCGCCTTACAACCCTAACTTAAGGCCTGCCGATTTTTTTACGTTCCCCAAAATTAAGCAAAGGCTTCATGGTCAACGTTTCAGCTCACCCGAAGAAGCTGTTGACGCATACTAATCGGCCATTTCGACTACCCCCACTTCTGGAGTGGAATAAATGTTTTAAAAATAGGTTTGAACGCATGCAAAAGTGTAAGTATCGCGGAGAATTCTTTGAAAAACAATAAAATAATCAATTAGATTGTCTATTATTATTTCAAACGACACAACTTAAAAGGCAGTCCTCGTATACGAGATATAATACAAGATTTATTTTGAGAGATATTGTATGGTTAGTAAACGAGTATTTTTGTAGAGAAATATATTTTTTGTACCTAATAATCAGAAACCGCAAATAATAATATTTATGTTTTGACCTAAACTGAACCCGAGTCAAACGAACAGTAACAGATAACATAAAAATATATTAGGTGCACTTCTTAGACTCCATTAAAATATATCAATTGTTTAAATGTGGTTGGAAACATGAACATTGGCTGGATAGTAATAGATTTCAACGTTTTCAAAGTCTTATAACTTAAACTTATAAATTAAATATTAACCTGAAGTATCAATCAGGTGGTTTGTGTACAACAAAAGCTCTTTGTGTGTCTTCTGAGTGGCGGCACACCAACTCACTGTATCTGAGGATGGAAGCCACATATTCATGAGCTGTTCATTTGTTTATTTAGTACATTTAATAGTCACCATAATACATAAAACAAAAAAGAATTAATGTTAACCGTGCAAACTGTATATGCGACTTCCACACAGCGTAGAGTCAATGTATGCCTAGAATAATCACCGCTAAATCACCGAGGCCGTCAAACGAATAATAAAAAACATTTTGTCAAATAGCACGAACTAATGATTCATATTTTTAAATATATAGTTACTGCAGTGACAGTATATATCAATTATAACGATCGGAATCAACTCACGAGCGGCACCCGTTCAAGAGCCGGCCTACATCGATTCGACCACGTGATTCATCGAGTATTAGTGAAGTGTAATTTATAAGTACCTGTGAATACATCTCCGACCTGCTGCAAGTCGTAGATGGGCGCGGCGATGAAACCACCTGCAAATACAACATCGAATCAGGCGTCGCCGGGTGCGTAGGGACGTATTCGTCAGTGGACGCACGCACGCGCGCATTCACACGTCGCGGCCGCCGCGACCGTCGCGACCGTCCGTCGCCTCGCACGCTCCCTAGCACGCTCCCTCTCACTCTCTCTCGCACGCTCATCCGACTCATCCGACCACTCGACAATCTATCGTTCGCATAACACACGCAATGCATCGTCGCGATCGGCCGCACTCGCACGCTCGCACGCTCGCACACCGGCCGCGCACTCGGGGCGATGCAGTATAATGAAGTAGGTACATTGTGAGACCGGCGGAGGGAGGGCGGCGCCGCAGCCGGAGTCGACTCAGCGTATACCAATAACCTAACTTACAAATACTAGTCTGAAACAGAAAGCAGAAACACTGATCACTGAGGATGGTTTCGGAACGAGCTACGAGCGGCTAAGTTATCTAAGGCAAGACGCGAGAGGAGCTCCCGGCGGCGCGCGACGGCGGCGGCTGCGCGGCGGCGGCGGCCCTGCAACAGCGAGCACAGCGCGCGTCAGTGCGGGGGGCTCCGGGGGGGCAGGGGCGGGGGCTCCGGGGGGGGCGGGGGCTCCCGGAGATACTCACCCGCGCCCGGCGGCTGCAGCGCGGGCAGCGCGGTCGGCGCCGGCGGCTGCAGCGGTTGCAGCGGCTGCAGCGGTTGCAGCTGTTGCAGCGGTTGCAGCGACTGCAGCGACTGCAGCGGCTGCGGTGGCAGCGGCTGCGGCGGCAGCGTCAGGCTCTCGCCGCCCTGCAACTGACGGTGTGAGGTCACAATCTCACGCTCCTACTTCTCTACCGCTTTCACCATACATATATATATCGGACATGACTCTATAGTGACATTAAAGTCACGTGTGGCACAAGTATATCACTTTAATACACAAAAAACGATCTAACTTATACACAGTAGAAATAATGCATCCAAATTACTTATGTCCAAGAGGAGCCGTATTCGGGTCTGGCCAACACAGTAAAATGTCGTGTCAAACTATATATCCCTCCTAACCTTACTACGAAAACTTGCCAGGCACTACTCTCGTTGTGTAATTCCATTAAATTTCCAGCTAAAACTGCTTTGTCGTGTAATAGCATTTTAGGAATGAAACCTAAAATATATAATAATCTTCCAAGAGCATTAAAATCGATTGGTAAAACTTACTACACGGTTGGCGTTTTCCTGAATGATACATTGACGTAAAGACAGTTAATTAATGACTATTTATATGATGACGTAGTACAATGATTTTATTTAAATAAACATCCTTACTCCTTACTAATATTATAAATCCCATCAAAAACATAAATGTGAAATGATAGCCGAGTTTAATATTATGATATATACCTTGATTGTTGACTTCTACGACAAAAGAGATGAGATCTAAATGGGTGCCAAGTTCAATGGTCTGTCCTGAAATGTATTTATAACAATATAAAATATCATTTCTTCTTATAACTTACGATAATATGCTGTAGCCTAAGGTCTAACTTGGCCAGTTCTCATATACCAATTATTACTTTCGATTGCTAGTTAGTATAATATAAAATAGGAACCGACAAGTAACATGTTTAGAACTTGCGAAGGCTACAGTATATTTCGTATATGAAAACTAGCTGTTAGACCTTAGGCTACAGTATATTATCCTAAGTTATAAGAAGAAATGATATTTTATATTGTTATAAATACATTTCAGGACAGACCATTGAACTTGGCACCCATTTAGATCTCATCTCTTTTGTCGTAGAAGTCAACAATCAAGGTATATATCATAATATTAAACTCGGCTATCATTTCACATTTATGTTTTTGATGGGATATCATTACTTTTTGTACATAAATTATACGAGGTACTTATTTATAACTAAATTAATACCAAATTATTTTTGATAAATTACTGTATTTCGTATATTTACGGGGTATAATTGTCTTTTTTTTGTGTTATTTTCTATATTTTCTTGTAACTTTTAAATGTTCAAGTGCAATGCCAATTCAGTATCAGGAATTTTTGGGCAAATCGGGGCGGTATAACGTCCACAGATGGTTGTACTCTACAATAGAGCTCTCGTGACTTGGATCTAAATTGTTAAGACGTACTCCATCTAAGGTTTTAACTCTGAAGAGTCCAACGTAAACCTGCCCTTTATTAAATATAGAGGAGGCTATGTTGAGAAGAGGACTGCCAAAACTAAGGCCTTGTGATTTGTGGATAGTAATAGCGTATGTTAAGCAAATACGGAATTGTTCTCTATCAACATATACATTATTTAATATCTGAAACTTCGTATTGACACGTTATAGTTCGTAAAGACGATTATGTAACAAATTGACTGTTATCTATTGAATTCTCAAGAAAACAATTTGTTACCAATGAGTTCTCATTCTCGAGTTAACTATACATTCCTACTTATAACTATACTAAAATTGTTATTAATTTTTGGTTTAAACTATTGTCTATACCATACGTATTTACTAAAATAATGTAATAATAATATAACCACAAATATATAAGTATAATTTAAGAAAGCTATGAATTTCGTAGCATAAATCGCAACCTTATAGGTTAGATATCGAGAAACAAAACATTGAGTTTTATCGCACCGCTCCCACACGCCGCCGCGGCGCCCTATACCGAAATGCCTATTATTTAATAATTATTTATAAAAATAATGATTTTACACTATCGATGTGCGCTAAATATTGAAACAATAATTAATACCAAATCTCAGTTAATAACATAATAAATACGAAATTCGACTATACTCCTAGTTATAAGTACGAGTATATTTTAGACAGAATCTAAATTATAGCAACTAGTGTTTACCGCTCAATGCAATATTTGAAGTTTGCTAGTTATCGACACTGATGTGAAGGGGTCAACGTAAATTGGTAATGATCGACGTTTTCATACAATATTACTTTCCGTCCAGTACAAGATGAGATTTTTCGCCAGGGATCAATGTCAATTGGTGGCTATCGACGTTTTCATAGAATTTTAGTATTCGTCCAGTATAAGTTGAAATAGAATCAATTAAAGTGAAAAATTGTAGTAAAATGATAACAATTTACCAGTTTCAGATTTTTTCCTTTATATTCACCTAATTACCTATCTGCATACCAAATTTGAACTTCCTAGGTCATCTGGAAGTGGGTTATAATTTTGATCTATAGTTGATCAGTGATAAAAATGACGATTTTTGGACATTAATATCTAAATAACCGTTTGAGATATGTTTATGAAATTTGGAACACATATTTATCTCGCAAGTCTCAATATATGAACCAAATTTGACAGGTTTGTGTGAAAGAGTTTTTGAGTTATGAGGGGGTCAAAAGTGGCTCCAAATGGTTCGTGTAAATATACACACGGTGCTGCAGGCCAGTTTACTTGAAACTCGGCTTGACACGCTGCCGCGTGTCTAGATGCGAAAGTAACTCTGTCTGTCTGTCTCGCTTTCACGCCAAAACTACTGAACCGATTTAAATGAAATTTGGTACACAGATAGTCTAGACCCTAAGAAAGGCCACTTTTTAATGCGAAAATAGGGTTGTAAAGGGTTGAAATTGGGGATGAAAGATTGTATGGAAGAATCGTCATTTTTGAAGCTAGCAGCTTGAAACTTATTTTTGAGGCTGTTGATTAAATATAAATAAATATGACATTCTAAGTTTGTAAAAATTTTACCATTAGGGGTGTAAAAAAAAATAGGGGGTGAAAGTTTTTATGTAAATTCGTCATTTTAGAAGCTAGAGACTGATGTTTTAGGCTGTTGATTAAATATAAATAAACAGGCCATCAAAGTTTATAAAAATTTTACACTTAATGGGGTAATAAAATAGGGGATGAAAGTTTTTATGTAAATTCGTCATTTTAGAAGCTAGAGACTGATGTTTTAGGCTGTTGATTAAATATAAATAAACAGGCCATCAAAGTTTATAAAAATGTTACCCTTAAGGCGGTAATAAAATAGGGGATGAAAGTTTTTATGTAAATTCGTCATTTTAGAAGCTAGAGACTGATGTTTTAGGCTGTTGATTAAATATAAATAAACAGGCCATCAAAGTTTATAAAAATGTTACCCTTAAGGGGGTAATAAAATAGGGGATGAAAGTTTTTATGTAAATTCGTCATTTTTGAAGCCAGAAGTTTGAAACTTATTTTTGAGGCTGTTGATTAAATATAAATAAATAGACCATCAAAGTTTGTAAAAATGTTTCCCTTAAGGGGGAAAATAAATTAGGGGATAATTTTTTTTATGTAAATTCGTCATTGTTGAAGATAGAAACTTGAAACTTATTTTTGGGACTGTTGATTAAATATAAATAAATATGACATTCAAAGTTTGTAAAAAAAATCCCTTAAGGGAGTAAACAAAAAATAGGGGATGAAGATTTTGATGTAAATTCGTCATTATTGAAGTTAGAATGATGAGACTTTTTTATTGGCTTTTTGAGTTAGTTTATTAAATACTTACTAATATTACAAATTTTACCCTCAAGGGGTAAAATAAAATAGGGGATCAAGTTTTATGTAAATTCATGACTTTTTAAGCTAGAATGATGAACCTTTTTCCATTGGCTTTGTTTGGGTTTATTTATTAAATACCTCACTAATATTATATTATACTCTCGATCTCGCTTACACGCGAAAACTACTGAACCGATTTAAATGAAATTTGGAACACACAATCTAGACCCTGAGATTGGATATAGAGTACTTTTTAATGTGGAAAAGGGTTGTAAGGGGATTGAAAGGGTAGGTGCAATGTTAGGTCATTAAATATTTTTTTCATTATTTGGTCAAGGTCACTATTTTACGCGGACGAAGTCGCGGGTACAGCTAGTATATAATAATTGTACCTACAAATTGAAATTTTGTAAACCTCTTACTCTCTGCAGGTTAATGTACGGATCTCAACAACATATTGTTTACCTACATTTGGCAAATAAAGTATTATTATTATCATTTTATTTACATATTATTATCTATCGATTATGTATTAACAGAAAGTGAATTTATAATTATATATATTGAGGGTATAAGTGAAATAAAAATAAGGCCTCCATCCGCCTGCGATGGTTAAAGAAATTCAAGAGAAACTATAAAGCTCCAAGGAGCAAAGAAACTTTGCGAGATTTTCTGGGTTTGTACTGGGTAAATTTTTGCCTCATAAGAGCACCATATTAGAGTCGTTGTATAGACTTGGATACTGTTGTATAAAAAAGACAACCTGATAGGTATAAATAACTACAGACCTAATAGCTTATTATCTACAATATTTTATTATCAATTATTCTGAGCAAAATAGTACTGCAGATACATAAAAACCAGCCAATAGAAGAAGCGGGTTTCCGGCCATATTACTCTACTATCAACCATATACACACTATAGAACAAATAATAGGACAAGGAATGTAGTAAACCACTTTATATAGCTCTTGTGGGCCATTCTAAAGCATTTGACAGCTTAGTGCACTCATCCATATGCACGGCTCTAAGAAATAAGAATATAAACAAATAATATATCAATATAATATTTTTTATTTATTCTAAACGCGTAAGTAGAATAAAACTGGAAAGACAAGGATCATAATTGAAAGAGGGGCGAGGCAGAGAGAGACCCACTTTCTCTGAAACTATTTATAGCTGTACTTGAATACATTTACAAAAACAAAGTATTGTCTTGTCCACATGCAACGGAAAAAAAGTATGTTGAAACTTAAAAGAACACAAAAAAACAGAAATACAGATATCCAAAATAAGACCAAATTGATGGATGTTCTCTAGTTCAGTTTATAAACCAAAAATATAATAAGTATATGTTAGAAAAATGTGTTACGTGGATGTTTAAAGCTAAAATAACAGACTATTAAAATCTAAAAGGTCATGGAGCTGAGGTGATAGAGAACAGGAAGCCTTCTTAGAGTGATTCTTTTATATGTGATTCATCTGAGTAGGATTAGCGGCAATTATTGCTCATGTTGTGCAGGATGGATTAGAGAGACAGTACAGTAAGATCAATAAGGAGATTTTGGCAATTGTATTTGGATTGACCAAATTCTTATCAGGTCGTAAATTCTTATAGTGATGTATTATAAGCTTCCAGTTAGTCTCCGAGATTAAAAAACAGGCTATTGTATTTATAATAATATAGACATTAAATGATTATTTTACACAAAACATCCACAAGTCAGAAGGGAATATACACTATATCAAGTAATTTGTTATATAGAGGTTTGTTATACTGAGGTTTGTTATATTGAGGTTTGTTATATTTGTTATATTTGTTATATCGAGGTTTGTTATACTGAGGTTAGGTCGGTCTAAGATATGTTATATAGAGGTTGCACTGTTGTTGTATTCACCACAACAGTATAATCTCATTTTATGATAGTGAATTCCAATCATGTTACATATTTAGAAGCTTTATAGCTAAAATAAAATCTCTAAGTCTACAGGTTTCATCTGACAACACAACAATATCACATTAAGTAGTTTTATAATTAATGTTTGTACTTGTTTTTGTAGCAATGGTATATTGTCCAACATGTGCATTACCTTAAGGACACAAGCAAGTCAATGCATATAGGTAGACTTGCATGAGTTCATTAAGCTCAGACTACAAGAGGCCCTAATCAACCCTCATTGCCACTGATGTAAAGGATGGTAAATCTCTTTGACTACACATTCAATTTACATATGGTTGGAAACTAATCAAAATAAAAGGAGTCTGTTAAAAACTCTTTCAAGTTTAGATTTCGTTGTCTAAATACCAATGTCCTACATAAAAGTTGTTTGGCACAAAGGGTATTAGTAGGATATACATAACACATGTCAGATTTTCAACAATAGGTACGATAACGGAATATTCTAAGTTAATAAGAGAAAAAAGACAATCACATCATTTACTTAGACTGATCCCTTTTGAAAACGAAACATAGTACACGTGTGGTGCATATTTCAGAATTCTAAGTTAAGACCTGATACTTTGTGTACTGATTTACATAGTCGAAGTTACGCATTAGGAGAATCAGGTAATTGCTTTATGTTCCTAAACATATAGGTAGTCGCAGCTTAGTGTCAAAAAGGTTATTATTATTATATCTGAAGGCGGTAGAACCATTGTTATAGAAAAAAATACTTACCAATTCCATTATTTGTTTTTGATCACTTTAAAAACTTTAAGTCTAATTATGGGCTAATACAGTAAATGTATACTATAATTGTTTATTAGACATCACAAATTAACGAAAGAACGATAACGAAATGGAATATTCTTGGACAATTTTCGTGTTCCACAGATAAAAAAAAGACTACACACAATAGTTGGCTTTTTTTATCTATGGTTTTACGGCTTTGGGTACCAGCACTACTAGCCCTGGCTTTATTTAGTTTTTCGTTATTTTATTAATTTTTTATATTATAGTTCGGCAGAAAGTGGATTTGTCAATTATTTCAGACTAGCAGAGCAGTGTTGCCATCTTTAAGAATTATTAAATAACTTTCTGTTGGTATATTTCCTTTACTCTTTAAAAATAACTAACCTCAAATGTATATTTAAGACGACATATTTAGAGAAACCATAGAGTTACTGAGAAACAATGGACCGAGAGTTAGATGTTCATTTTAAAATTGTTAACGGAATGCTATATGGTGAAAAACACAATGTTACTGTATAAATTACAGCTATTTTAAATTGTTTATCAATTGAAGGTGGCTTAGCGGGATTTTTATGTAATAATAAATTTTTAGGTATGTAATTGTAAAAATAGCGTTTATAATATGAATGACTAAATTTTCAAAATGGGAACAAAATGTCTTTTTGTTTTGATTAGGCCAATGGATTTTGTCACATTCGTGTCTTGTCAATGTAATTATAGATAATCTATATTTTCAAAATGTGGCAATAATATTTGTAATTAAATACTTACACGGTAAGTTTTATTCTGAATCAAAAAGATATGGAAACTTTCGACCGTTATTGTTATTTTATTACTTTTGTGGCGAATCTACTATCATCGTGCGGCAACACCGTTGCCTAGTTACGATGGGGCAAGAAGAATAACAAGCCTGTCATTCGAGACCGAATCACTTTCTTGTACATACCTATATATTCATTGTAAATATTTCGTAATTATAAATATGTACATAACAACAATCTGGACTCATCATTTCACCTCCTTCTTTCCCGCTGCTGCTACAAGAACACAACATAAACATAAATAATAGCGGTAACAATATAGACGCTAAACTTTATTATATAAATACTAGTTAGTTTTAAATAAAGAAATTATTATTTTTGACTGTAATATTTATTAACAACAAAATATGACATGTACTTTACGTGTCTTTATTTTTATTACCATTACCATATGGTTTGTGGTCTTTACATCCTTTAACAACGAAATTCTTAAGAAAAATTTTGATTTTACACATAAATAATGACGGCATCGAATTAAAAAAAAATGTATACGACCGTATCACACTTGATCTTATAACAGATTGTGATGAGTGATATAGGGACTGTTATGTAACTACCTACCTGTGTGGAATGCATGTTAAGCTCAGAGAGTGTGATTTATTAACTTCATCTTCGTCACAGCGACATTGTCAATCAAATTTATTTTGTGATAAACACGGATAGTCTACAGGAGCTGTGATAGTAAAATACAATTAGAAATCGTGACTAATTCAGGGTATATTATTATCTACGTTGATACGCGTAGAGCCGTGTGTTACAACATATAATTGTATTAACTGGGGCCGTTCTTATACTCACAGCTGGCTCTCGGTGTAAAAACAGAAAAAGGGGCCTTGCTTGTTTAAAAAATATGATCTAAAGTCAAACAAATAAATCAAATAATTTTATCCGCAGGGGGTGAGTAGCGTTTCATCGCATAATTTATACTTAACTATAACTAGACTGCTCCACGCTCGAGTTTTTATAAAGTTTAGGACTGGTTATTGTATTTGAATATAATATTGACTAATACAGCGTGTGATTTCACTAATACTCATCTGCCTGCTTATATATTTATTTTTTATTGTCTACGTAGGTACTATACTATGAATTTCGGTTATCACAACATTAATTTTTTTTTTTATAACAGGGGACAAACGAGCATGCGGCTCACCTGATGGTAAGTGATTACCGCTGCCCATGAGCACCCGCAACATCAGGGGAATTGCAAGTACGTTGTCGGCCTTTTAAAAAGGAATAAGCTCTTTTCTTGAAGGTTTCAATATCGTATCGGTTCGGAAATACCATTGCTGAAAGGTGATTCCACAATGTGGTTGTGCGAGGCAAAAAGTTTCTAGAAAACCGTACTGTGGAAGACCGCCATTCATACAGATGATCAGGATGGTATTTCAGTTTCTGGCGGGTGGTACGGTGGTGAAACTCAGCAGCTGGTATTAATCCGAACAATTCCTCAGAACACTCCCCGTGATATATGCGGCAGAAAATGCACAGAGATGCAATATCTCGCCGCAAAGCCAATGGGTCGAGTCTGTCACATAGACGTTGATTACCAATGATTCTGGCTGCTCGGTTCTGAATGCGGTCAAATGGAAGTAGCTGGTATTGTGGTGCTCCGGCCCAGAGATGAGAACAGTATTCCATATGCGGCCGGATCTGCGCCTTGTATAATTGCAAGCGATGAGCCGCAATAATTTAAGAAGACCTGTGATACTCGCGTTACCTTTCCTGGCGGAGATATTATTCCTTCAGTAGAATTAGAGGCGGTTTGTTATAGTATTTGTTAACTTTAAATTATTATATATTTATTGAAAATATTTTGCATTTTGTAAATTCACAATATTCGTATTTCAAATAAAATACAAAATGATATATATAGAAAACACCTAGACCAATACAAACAATCATACTAATGAATACGTAAGTTTTCAGCCTACGAGGACTACAACCCGCGACTATCAGATGTAAGGCGGTGTGCTGAACTGCTATACTACCGAGGCCATGCTTTTGCTTTCAATGTCGTGGTTGCATGTTGTGTTTTATAGGAACCAACATGGTCTAATAACTACATTACTGGTAATGTATGTACTATGGCAGGTCGACTTCCATGAGGTTCTCTCTGTAAACCACCGTGATGAATTCCTGATGAAATTGTCGCAATGAGCCAATTGATCTGATCTCATGTTCCTCTTATTATCTTCGACGGGTGCCCGGCCGGTATAAACCGTCAGCACAGGCGGCTGCACCATTCCATTACCATCCATTTAAAAAGAGTCCTGCTCCACATGTACGTGTGGGACTGTGGGTACTATGATAGAGAAACTATTATGACATAAATACATTTTGCGGTAGGCAGCGAGGCTACTAATAAACTGCTAAAACCGTGGAAAACTCGCTACAGAAATAGTATGCAACTATGACCGTTTGTTTATTTGCACGAACTTGAGATGCAAAATAGTTGGATATGTATTTAGACGTGGTCTTGAGTGCGTGCAGATCATACCGCGCATTCCGTACGCCGCACAGCTAGAGGTGGGCCTTGAAGGAACGAACCGTTTTGTTAAACTGCTTTTTGTGCGTGTACGATTAAACTAGTTTACAGTTCATAGCTAAACTAGCTTATTTATCGACTGGTTGATCGACTGATCAATTGGTAAACGAGATTTTCGTTCATTCACATCTACCAATTGTTTATGAGAAGTAATAGTTTTTTGAGAGGTAGATGGCGGTAGCTCCAACATCGTCAATTGGTAAACGAGGTTTTCGTTCATTTACGTCTACCAATCGTTTATATGAAGAAATATTCTTCTCTGTGAAAATTAGTCTGTTTTTTTAACTAGTTCATACTCGACGGTAAACGGTCGTTGCTTCGATTGTGAAGTCGACGACCCACCACTACTGCGACACGCGACATGCGACATGCGACGCGAGCAGAGCGTCGCACGTGCGTATGTTGTGCTGGCGTCCAGTCCTCCATCCCATACGAGTTAGTGAGGTGTATCCCACAGCCCCAGCCTCCGGGCGGGATCGTCACCGCTACGCATTGTGCGTGATTTGAACTAAACTCCATTTACTCAGTCCGCCGCAGTGGGAGTGCGCGCACGCATGCACGTTGCGACGCCGCGCGTCGTTGTAGTGCGGTGTGTGATTGACGAGTACGATCCTGTGCTCGGAACTTTAAACTTTGATATCAGACAATTTGACTTTATTGGAAATTTTGTGAATTAAATTGCTAAGGATTCGAATAATGTATGGTATGTGAGTAGATATTCAGCAATATAATTATAAACATATACCAATTTACTTATTTAAATTGCACAATTTTCTTTCCGCCTGTCGCTTCATTTGGAACGTGTGGGTGCTGTGATGATCCGAATGTCCCAATTCCACTTGGGAAGTGTTTCTTAATAATTAAAAATCAATTGGCAAACAACATGTGACACCCAATTAGGTCGCGGCCCTGCTATATGTAGTATGTGCGGATATTTATATCATAATAACATCCAAATATTTTCCTACTATGCTAGCGAATAAATATCTACATATATATAAATAATTTTCTTTATAGAAATTCGTAACATTCGCTATGGTCGACATTCATTATAATTTATATGTCAATTTGGTTTTCTGTGTAACACGTTAATTAAGGAGAACACTAATTAAGGATACATATATTTCTTTAACTATACAGATATATAAAATTAAAGTGTCTGTTTGTAATTTTAAATTAACAGCTTTTCACTAAATTATGAACGTATACACGGTACTTCAGTCAAACAATTACTATTTATTTTATCACAACATCAAACAAACAAACAATCAACATAATTAGTGGTCAATCTATTATTTAGTGTAAAAGTCAGAGAACGGAACTATACGACATCATGCATGGTTATTTCTGTAATTACCCGTAATTACAGAAATTACCATTTCTGAGCACGCAGTGATAAATATATTAGCTGTATTGTAACATTGATTGACTATTTATTTTAAATTGATCTGATTGTAATATTATAAACATGTAAGTCTGTGAGTATGGATGGATAGACGCATGTTACTCTTTCACGCAATAACTACTGAACCGTTTTTAATCAAAATTTGCAGTCACATACCTTATACATCATAATAATACTCTTACATAAGTTATAAATTATATGCGGGTGAAATCTAGGGTACAGCTAGTAGGTGTATAAAGTAATGACTAAAGATAGGTTTAGTTTTTATTTTATACTAGCAGTTCTCGCGAATTCGTCCGCATGGAATGTAATATTCTAAAATAAAAGTAGCCTAAGTTACTCCTCATTACATCAGGTACATGCTAAAAAAGTTCCATCAAAATCGGTCCAACCATTTCAGAGATTAGCCGGAACAAACAGATAGACAGACAAAAATTGTAAAATATGATATTTTGGTGTAGGTATGTACCGTATTTACATTCATATGCTTGTAGTAAAAAACAGTTCAATATTACAAACAGACCCCACTTTTATTTATATGTATAGTATAGATATCTGTACGTGAACGAATCTGTTGTTCTCTTATCTATATTATGTCATCTACATACACTCTATAGTGTATATATATATATACCTGTATACTATACTTTACAGCTTTAAGCTGGGGCGAACAAGCTGCGACTTACAACACAATATGAGTGTGCTGCAGGGACATACGTAGTTGCTTCAGTTGTTGTTGTTGTTGTCTACATCATGTCCTTGCTAATATTATAAATGTGATAGTAGCGATGTTTGTTACGCTTTAACGCAAAAACTACTGAACCGATCATCATGAAATTTTGTACACATGTTCTAGGAGGTATTAGAATGAACAAAAAAATATCATCATCATTACATAGTATAAAACAAAGTCGCTGTCGATGTTTGTTCGTTCCTATGTATGCTTAAATCTTTAAAACTACGCAACGGATTTTGAAGCGTTTTTTTTAATAGATAGAGTGAGTCAAGAGGAAGGTTTATATGTATAATACATGTACACCCGGGTGAAGCCGGGGCGAGTGGCTAGTTTTTATTAAAAAATAAAAATTATAAAATATCAACATTTTGCAACTTCAGCGCCATATAACACCCAGTAATGAAGGTATGCGAGCGAAGTCGCGGGTAAAAGCTAGTGAGTACATACATACGCTGCACATGCTCTCCGATGTTGCAAGTATCGTGGTCGGCGGCTGTACCTGACTGATATTTTTATTTGTTAGTTATCACAACAATCCTACTATGCAACGAGAACGGACAGCAAAAAGACAAAGAAAACCGAAAATATAACCATACACTTACTTACCTATGACGTTATAGCACGGGGGCTTACAGCCGACGCCTATGTGGGAGATATGAGCCGTGCAGTGATATGAGATGTCATAACATCAGTTTCAGTGACGTCACTCTCAGATATTGCAGACTCCGAGCAGTTTCCATAGCAAACTGTTTCGGTTGTAGGGTCAGGCACGATTAGGCAGTGAAACAGGATAATAGGCATGACTCTTAGTCCTTTCGAATGGAAATGTATGAGTGGTACGACGGTTATCAGTGTTGTTCATATAGGCCGCTAGCTAACAATTATAGAAAAACGATGTAGTAGTGTACATTTCATTGGGAATTTGACAAATATAGTGGTTTAAACTGCGATTCGGACGACTGTTAACTACTGAATGAAGTCACTGCTTTCTCTTGAAAGAGTTTTACATTCTAGAAAGTAAAATTAAATACAAGTAAGGAGTACCTGCGCCCTACGGACTAAAACAGTAGAATATTAAAATAGTTAAAAATATTGTTTAATATCTTTATTCATTTAATTATTTACTGTGTATAGATATTTCTTTAGTTTTATATTATACAGTTTATTTTATATGTATGTTAAGTATAATGTATGTATAAATATTTATATTATGTATATATATGATATATTATTATTATTATTTATGTTTATTCATTCCATCTTGCGCCACCCACCACCTTTTGTCTTTTCTCCTCTACACAAAGGTTGTCTGGAAGAGATCGCTTTAAGCGATAAGACCTCCGTTTGGACCTACAGTCCTACATACTATAGATATTGTTTTGTTTTGTATTTTTTTAAAGGTCCAATAAAGAGTTATAAATAAAATAAAAAATTAATGTCATATATGTAGAGGCGTGCGTGGGTCAGGTTCGTCAGTACATGGATGCGGGACGCGAGCGTGTTGTTGACGAGTGGCACGCAGCTGCACCAAGATGTCGTTGTGACAACATGCAGCGATATTTAGCTAACCTTTGGGCGGTATTCCGGGCGTGCTATTTGTGTACCATCCGATAGCGCAGAAATAGCCATCAGCAACAGTTCCACTCGAACGACGACGACACATCCAGCTTCCATCCGAAGCGGAGATAAGCCAATAACGACCTCAGAACTCCATAACATTGTACCAATTAGAGGCCCTTTGCATATTAGGATAATGGGGCCCCTATGACCATAGTAATGAAGCACTATTTTATTATGACAAAGTCATTTTTGAACGTGACTCTTTAGAGATGCAAAAATAATTTTAAAAAGTCGTTATGTGATGAGGGGTTCATGTTCTTGTTTGACATTTATAAAAAAATAACAAATTGACCACAGTCGGTAAGCATTTGTTAAGACTGATTTTCAGGCGAGAGTAGAGTAGCTATCGGTTATTGTTTAGTAATGGAATAGGGACAAGACTCGACTAGGAGGCCCCAATACATCGTGGGACCCTGGACACGTGCCCAGTGTGCCCAGTGGGGCAGGGGCCCTGATTACCAATAGGGTGGGCAACATGCACATGTAATGACCACGACTTGCCACCATCGTGGTATAAAAAAAGCGTCGTGAACTGGCGACGCGGCGACGACTTGACCGCAACACTTGCCTGTATTCCGGTGGATATATTTAAATCCAACGTGACAGGGAAACCTACCGCCGTCACTCGGTTCTTGATGTATGTTGATGAAATGTAACAGTCGAGTTTTAGCTTCAAAGTTGGTTTAAATAATTTGAAAACGCTATAAACGGGATGTGGACGGCAGAACATCAACACGTGTCCGAAATAGGTGTGTTAGGTGCATGGTGCGGCGCGGGGCGGCGCAGGGCGGCGCGGGGCGGCGACATTTGTTTGGAGCAGAACACCTGGCGCCCGGACGATCGGACGGTGCTTCTGCTTCATTATAAATCATTAGAACAAAGGCAATCAGTGGCGGTTCCAAACTGCAACCGTGTTGTAAATAATGTAACTATATCCGAAGTTTTACATCAATGCAAATAATTTGATTGTGCTGAAGAATATAATACGAAATTAAAAGTTACACATTATATCTTTAATTAGTTAGTGTTTTACGTATTCCACAAATGGCGTTGAATTCATACTTACATGAGTAAGCTCTGACTTATGTAGATTGCAGTGCGCCTCAGACGACAACATTTGGAACACATTATAACAATATAATTACACTTACCAATAACTATATTTGAACTATAAATAGATAAAGCATTCACACGTGCTATATTTAACAGTTTCATAAGTTCGACGTAAAATTTCAGTAAATATAGACGAGTTATTGTCCATCGGATTTTGATATTTGAATGGATGTATTATTGTTTTATGTGATACTAGCTGTGCCCCCGGTTTCACCCGCAGGAAATTTATAGCCCATATGTTATTCTGATGTATAAACTATATTACTGTAAACTTTAATCAAAATCCGTTCATTAGTTTTTGCGTGAAAGAGTAACAAACGTCCATACACACAAACTTTCGCATTTATAATAATAATAATAGAAACGGTAATGCAAATTAAATTAGTTTATTAATTGAGTACCTTATTTATAGGTAAAGGTTGTAGCTATACATATATTTTGTAGTCAACAGTACTTATTAAATTGAAGACTATTTTTTGTTATCAATCTTATCCTAATTACCATATGATTGAATTTAAAAGATTTCTTAAAATTATTTTAATTAAATTAATCATAACATCAAATATTATTTTGTGCGCGTGTAACACTGTGAACGAATGAAAATTTAAACTTCGTTTTGGTAAACGCGATCTATATCATTCTCAATCAAGAATCAACAATCAACATTCAGATCAACGTCAATCTTTAAACTAGTTTACGCTGAACTCAGTTTCCTTAAACTAAATTATAAAAGTGCCATGTTTGTGCTACCAGTTCACCAGTTCGTTCCATATTTGTAATATTGTGTGGTGTCGTTCCGCACCTTGCTGTATTTACGTGAATAATTAATTAGAACTATAAAATATGTACCACACTACACATGGCCGACGTTAAAGTGTAATAAGAGGGTGAGATAACACTGGTGTGTGTGTGTCGCGTGTGACAGCTTCCCACGACATTCCCTCCCCTCCACGCGCACCCCTCACACCCCCGCCGGCGACTGCCGCTCTTCTCTTCAATGAGTATTCAATGAGAATAGTTCAGATTTTTTTTTTATAATAAATTATTTCTAGTTTCCGTATAGGTACATTTATAATATGATCTTTATATGAAAAAAAATTGTTATGTCTATTCAAAAGTGCTTAAATTAAGTTTATTTGAAATGATTTTCTATTCTATTCTATTCTATATAAAGACTGACATAGGCAATATGTATATTATATATATATATATGTATTTGCTGACCCGATAGATATTGTTTTGTCGTATAAATTAATATTATCGTTTTTAAAAAATAGAGGTTGTGTTAGAATGTTGAAAATATGGGGTGGTAAATAAAAAATATGACAAAATAAAGGTTTTTGTGGCCCCACCACACCACCTCAGTGGTGTAAAAAAAGTTCAGGAATTTCATTAGGGACAAGCCATATGACCCGAAAAATATATATATTAAGATATACACAGAGCAGTATGTTCGGCAAACTTGTGTTTGGTCGCGTGACGCGCGTGGTGGTCACCACGCGCACCACCGTCACCGTCACCGTCGCCACTGCACTCAGCCGCACACCGCAAACAATATTAATCTGATAATCTCCCGCCTCGCTAACTGAACTTAATTAATTTATGCCCTCAACGGTCGCAACTCGTGTTATGCATTAACTGATATACCTACGGCTATGCGTTTTCAATTTACTAATAACATTAATGAGGTGACTAGCAGATGTTTCTGTTTCAATTACATTTTGTATATCTTTTGTATCGTTTTAATAATTATAATTAAGTATATCTAATTAACGATATATTTATTTAATAAATTAATGATTAAGAAATATATATTAAATAAGTTGATTGCAGATATCCTGTATATATTGAATGTTAACATATAAAAGCAATAATTATGATTTAAACGTTTATACGTAATTAGCAGCATATAAAAATCGACTAAATTAATGTGTAAACTAAATGGAAGTAAAACTTAGATTGGAAACTTTATATTCATCGTGGAGCGCAGACTCGTGTAAAAGACATCAACGGTTACAGGCAGTCGTGCGTAACTTGCCATATTGTATGTTATATATACCTACAATTTATATATTACTGTATGTTGTAGATGTATATATATATGTATATTGCTTGTTTAAGGTATATATTTTAATATAAATAGGTTACATTTTTATACTGTTTAATGTATAAAATGTTTAGAGTGAATTCGTGTGTGCGGTTGTATGTGTATGTACTGATGTCTTTTTACTGCTATAGGAAGATTGTCAATGACATATACATATGACGACACTATTCGTATACTGTTAACAATGCTTATGGTTGTAATGGTAGGTGGGGTAGACAGAGGGATTATCAACTGTAGATTTTAGTGAACTAAACGCAAATCATGACACGCACCCACTCCGCTGAGAATACCAACTTGAATTCAATGAGGTAGAGGGCAAGTCTCTCTATTATATTTGGAGTAACGTTAAAATATTTTGTTTGCGAATAAAAATATAAAAGTACGGCCGTGTTATGTTGGTTTAGTTCTTAGTTCCAAATTATTTTTTATAATAATTTAAATTTATTTGCCTCATGTTATCTAACACTTATATCACACACTTATATATTTTATTAATATATATATAACTAACATGAATGTTCATGTATATTATTTGTTATTTAAATCCGTGCTGTTGATTGCATTAAATGTGAACTGATCGGCCAGTCAGTTGTTACACAGAATCATATATATCCCGCTGTTCTATTGAAAGTTATTAAATATACGAGCGTGAGTGAATGATTAATACTTACAAATACAATAACGACCAACAATATTTGAATTACCATAAATTATATGTGTGAGAATGCACTTCGCTTTTATTTTGAATAATTTACTTCATAAATTAATTGGATCCTTGTGCCGTTTGAGTACTGTAGTCCTGTATGAGAAACAGGGGCGCGGGATCACTCGCCGCGGGCGGTAACCGGCTCGGGATATCTTTGTGCCCGAAGACTTTTTTATATAACTAGTTACTCTTCCCAGTTTTGCACGGGTGTATATGTATTATATATATATATATATGCCTTCCTCTTGAATTACTCTATCTATTAAAAAAACCGCTTCGAAATCCGACTTTGTTTTATACTATGTAATGATTTATATTCAAATACTTATTAATATAAGAACAGTGTCTTTACTTTATTAAACTGCATAAAATAGCATTTGATTGAAACAGCCTAATATATAGTAGTTACATGTTTCATATACATTTAGCATTGTATAATCTTTGTCGCGGCACTGGTGATATGTCTCAAAATTATCTGAAAGGATAAGATAGGCTGGAACAATAGCTCGATAATGATACTCGTATGAATAAATAAGTGTAACACTAAAGGTGCATTTATAATTGTCTGATCTATCGTGACGTGTCGTGTCGTGTCGTGACGTGATGACAAATATTCAAAAATATATGTCAATTAATGACGACTTCTGACGATAAATTGTATCAATACAGCCGTGGCTCTAGGAAAGGTGGAACTGCGACGCGTCACAACACAACACTGGCACTTGTACATTTGTATAACGTGTCATGATGCCCCGTTCCCACACTCCACCGCTCTGACTCAGCCGGTGTCTTTTCTTGTGAGACACAACAGAACCCATCACAACACATTGCACATTACTAGTATGAACTTTACCATACTAAATACACTAAATAGATACCATTCTGACGCGTTATGTCACGACGCATCAGGCAAATATATGTCCACCTTTACACTTAAACCTCCATATTGCGATGGGTACCATGTGTACCATACTAAGCAGTGTTTAAGCGTGATTGAGTGCACACACAACGTTCCAACTGCGAGGTTATACGTATAATATAGAGTGATTGAGTAAAAAATAAGAAAAAGATTTACTACATAATGAGGGGTTTAGATATAAGAGAACTTCAACAGTGTGTTGTTGTTGCAGAGTGATCTCGTGCCGCGGTACCGGCGCTGCAGACCAGCGACGGCGACGTCGTGCTTTTTCTGCGAGAAGGTGCGCGCGCGCAGACTACGCGCGCCAACGTGATGGGCGTGTATGACGCACTGCTGCTGATGGCAGCACTACCCACACTGGCTGGTAAATATTATTATTACCAGCAAGCACAGACTGGGTCTCATCAGCGTAATCTAAGCTGCCTCGTTCGAGCCATACAAAAAAAATATCATCCTGATCGTCTGGATGGATAGCGGTCGTCCATCCACACATGGTTCCAGAAACTTTTTATCAGGCACAACGACATTGTGGAATCACCTTCCAGCAATGATATTTTTTAACTATGTAATACGATATTGAAAGCTTCAGGAAAAGTATTTATTCTTTCCTAAAAGGAAAGTAACGCACTTGTAATTCCCCTGGCGTTGCGAGTGCTTATGGCGGTAATCACTTACCATTAGTTGAGCTGCAAGTTATTTTGTAGAATAGGGAATGCTATGAAAAATTAAACATATAATCCAAAGTTTTATATTCAGATAAATATAAATGTTTGTATTGTGTGAGGAATCGTACCCGCGACCATCGGAAGTAAGGCGATGTGCTAAATCGTTAGATCACCGTGGCCGTTATATTGATTACTTAGCCGCAGCTTATAGAGGTGGAGCTGACCGATCAGATATATTAAAAAACCGTGACTTTCCTTAGAGAATAAGGTGCCACGTTCCGAAATTATAGAATAAAGGACCCACCCAATTCAATCAAATTTAATAAATATTTATTTATTTTTTAATAAAAATAAATAAATATTTTTCATTAAATGCGAGCGAAGCCGCGGTCAAATCTGGTTATATAATAAATGAAATATGCAAATTACTTACAAAATTAATTACAACAACGATCACTTTGTAATAAATTCCGGATGTCACAAACGAATAGGACGCGTAATGGTATGGAGCTCGCAACCGGTACAGAACGATATAAATAAGTTCGATACCCGGTACGAAGACAAGTGGCCGGGCCGGGCATTGATTGAAAACGATAAAAAAAGTGGTGACATTGTTGTGCGCCAGATGTGCACCGAGCGGCTGCCACTGCCGCGACCCGCGACTCTGTCGCAGCTGCGTAGGTACCTACTGCACTGCACTGCATTACACTGCACTGCACTGCACTGCATTACACTGCATTACACTGCCGCCGTGCGCCGCTCCACAGAATTCCTGTAAAAGCTTTTATTAGAAACAGGCGTGCTTTCTTATAACTTACTAATACGGTTCACACGAATCAATTACATTTCTACCGCACATTTTACGACACTTGCTATTCAGTATACTACACGTTTGTATGTATGTATGTCTGTTTAAATTAATATTAATGCTCTGTTTGTACTGTCCTTAGTAGATGTATATATCTAGCTGTTTTTAGTTTACGGATTAAGATGTCATTGTAGGGACTGATCTGCTCTTATCACACGACTGATTTACTCCTATTGTGTATTTTTATTTGACCCTAATAAGTTAGTGCTGGTTGGTAGTTTGTATTCCACATGTTTCGACTTGTAAATGTAAATTTACAAGGATTATTTAAAAGAGCAACACACAAGTTTCTTGCTCGTTCTTCTTGTGATGAGACAGCTTTCCGAATGACGTGGGCCAACAGCATTAGAGTAGTCCGAAAAAAAATAGTCAATTATATATGTATAAAACAACTAATGCTACATTCACAATGCAGACTCAGCTGAGGATAATGGAAACAAAACTCTGCTATTACTCGGGTATTACGAACGAAATATTAACTTGTATAAATTTAAGAGTTTATGTAACTATTACAATCTTCCAAAGAGCACACCGTGGATAGGTTTCAGTGAAAAAATTAACAAAACATTTATAGAGGCCGCAATGGGAGATCAGCACCGGTGAAATGTTTCGTTTCAGTGTTGGCATGTAATTTTTTTTATTTTTTTTATTATTATAATAATATTTGCCGCTTCCTTTGTGGCGACATCCATTGGGCCTATTTTTTTTCTACCTTATTATCCTGTACATGTGTTCCATTGTGTTTTTTTTTGTTGGCATGTAAATTTATAATGAACCTCTAATTAGAAATCTGCTATCTAATTGAAAACATTACTGTTGCGGGTAAATGATACTATGTTGTCGAGACGATGTATATTACAGATGATAATTGACTGACAATATGTACATAGAAATATTGATCTTATATACTAAATGACAATAGGAAAATGTAAGGTGGGGTGACACAGTTTAGACACAGCAGTGCTTAGTAGACAATATTGAATTTGTCTTACTGGACATTATTAAATGCAATTATTATTTTGATGTATCTAGGTAACTAACTGTGTCCCATAATTACGGAGACAATCAGCACGAGGATACTTTATGACTGCTCACTGCTCCGTGTGTGATCATGTGAACGTAAACATTCGGTACTTTCCACTAATGTAAGTAGCAAATTATTGTACACTTTGTTACTGAATTTTAATATACACACCATATCTATCTGATATATACAAGGAATATTATGACAATCTATATCTACATACATATAAATGAAATTGGAGTGTCTGTTTGTAATATTGAAATAAGAATTTTTACTACATATAAAAAATGTACAAAATAACATTTTTTACATTTTTTGTCCGTCTGTCTGTCTGTGTGTTTGTTCCGGCTAATCTCTAAAAGGCGGGCCCGATTTTGACGGGACTTTTATTGGCAGATAGCTAATGTAATAAGAAGTAACTTAGGCTACTTTTATTTTATAAAAATTAAGTTAAATTTCACGCGGACGCAGTCGCGGGTACAGTTAGTAACAAATAACTTTGGTTAAAGGAGTAGTGATGGGCGGCTGGGCGTGCCTGGGCGGCGGCGGCACGGCGGCGTCCGTTCGGGTACGTTCAGCGAGGAATCTAATGATTCGTACGCCGGAGCCCCGAGCCCCGAGCCCCGAGCCCCGAGCCCGGGCCGGAGTCGGCCGCCGCCGCGCCGCCGTGATTCATGCACCAGTTTTAACGTTATTGATAAAGACTGACATCTGACAAACATTTGGTTCTAAAAGAAAAGCTATTTCTGTACGTGACGACGTCTTTGAACTCAATATTTCAATACTCATATTTGATGATGTTCCACTAATTGCGCAGTAACACATTCTCCTACTTCATGGTTGTGGGGAAAATAATCGGATCGAGGGGAATGTATGAGTAGTAGCGGTATTAGGCACGGATTATCGATCTGGCACATGTGCCGAGGTCAGCCGCGTACTCGCAACTCGTATGTACAGTATTGTACAGTCAGCCAGCTGCGTTACAGCCTAGGAATGCGCGCACTTCCTGCAATATGCCGCCGGGGGCGCGGGCCGGGGCTCCTGCTGCCTCCGCGCCACTACGAACAGAATAAATAGGACGGGTTGTAAACAAATTTAATTGGGCCCTTTCATCTCTTGTCGTCAGCCCACATTACCCGAGCCAGATACATTATGTTCAACAATAATTACGTTACCACTATTGAGCGTATAATTTCTGTTTGAGTGACATCTGGTATACATTTTGGCTGAGTGCGTCGACACAGCCGAGAGAGTACATTTTTATTACATTTGTTATCGTGTTCAGAGGTACACGACCTACGTACTTGTATTAATTATAATAATACTCCTAGGACAATTCACACAGCGCCATCTAGACCCAAGTTAAGATAGCTAAAGTTTGTGCTATTGGTACTAGATAACTGATAAATATACATAGATATATATTTTTTTCGTAAATACAAGAAAACACCCAGATCGATACATACAATCATATTTATGAATACAAATGTTTGTGTCGTGCGAGGAATCGAACCCGCGACCATCGGCAGTAAGGCGGTGTGCTAAACCACTAGACCACCGAGTCCGTCAGTAATCGTAGCGCCTAAACTATAAAGTAAATGAACAGAACTCTGTACCAAGACAGATGTTATTGGTTGAGATTATGCATTGAGACTTGATTTTTTTTAATTGATTATAATGGAATAGTGCATCCGCCTGCGCTAACGGTTTACGCTGGCGGGGTCCCAGTGAAGGATGATGAGATGAGCATGAGGTCAGATCATTTAATTATTCGTAGCAAATCTGCTAGGGGTCCTTAGGTCCTTAGACAAGTCGAGGTTAAGCTGACATGTTATATTGCTGGCAAAGGGGTTATTAATCCATATTACTAACCATCCCCTTTCCCCCACGATTACATAGTTACCATTACGTATTATTACGTGTAGTGACCAGCACTGGTAGCTCATTTTAAATTCTGTGTATATGTTAATTTTCATCTTGATTGGTAGAATCATTTAGTCTATACGGCGTGAGAAATATATATCCTCATCTGTATTTGACAATGACACTGTTTGTATGTATGTTATATAAACTGTAGGTACATATATAGATCGCACATGGGATGCTGTTGGCTGAATCACGGGTCTGTAGTGTTCAATATTATACATTTGTTTTTTTTTATTCTCTTCCCTCATTTCATATTTAAAAAAACTCAAGTGGAAAGAAATACACTAAGAATAGTTAAAACATAGGTTAGCGTGACGCTTGACGGTCTCTGCAGTCTAGCGGTTTAGCATACTGTCTTACTTCCGATGTTCGCGGGTTTGATTCCTCGCACGGCACAAACATTTGTATTCATAATATGATTGTTTGTATCGGTCTGGGTGTTTTATATGTATATATTTACGAAAAAAATCTATGTATTTGTATCAGTTATCTAGTACCCATAACACAAGCTTTAGCTAGCTTAACTTGGGACTAGATGGCGCTGTGTGAATTATCCTGAGATTATTATTATTACTATTATTATAGCTTGGCTACCTTACTTTCGGCGTAACTATGGGATTGTCGGTTTGGTAGCATTATTTTATTGGCTAGTGACGTCAAACAAATAACATAGAAATAAACTGTATTCAAATTAGCCATATATTTTAACTACTCGATCGAATTATCTTGTGTTTAATGGGCAATTGTATTATGTTGGTTAGCTTCATTTAAGTATGTAATATTATGTTTTCTGTGGTTTAAGTATGACTGGACTGGTTGTCAACATGTGTCGTCTATGGTGCGATAAGTATGTCAGATGACTTGATGTGTTTATATATAGATTGGTATCTGATGGTGTTTGCGGTGGCCGCCGCATGGTGTCGCCGTCCATGCTGCGTCCTGCTACACACAGTACAGTGCGCTGATGACAGTGGCTATTTCTGTCGCCCCCTACGCTGACCCGTCATTCACAAAGCGGCAAATTACTTTCTAATAATAACAAAATACCATATTGTTCCTCATCTACGTACATGTATAACGCAACAGCAATATTATTTTTATCATTACAAGGTTAAGAAAATTTTCGAATTTATAGAATATACAGAGTATTATAGAATACTAGCTACTCGCCCCGGCTTCGCTCGGGTGTACATGTATTATACATATAAACCTTCCTCTTGAATCACTCTATCTATTAAAAAAAAACACTTCAGAATCCGTTGCGTAGTTTTAAAGATTTAAGCATACATAATGACGGACAGACAGCGATAGCGACTTTGTTTTATACTACGTAATGATAATGATACACATTTCTTTATTGTGGTTTATGGCATATAAAGATATTAAAAAAAAGTATATTCAATAAATCAGTTGACATGGGTAAAAATATTTTTAACATATGTAAGTAAATTAATTAAAAAAAAAATCATAAAAGTACAAAATATAACTAACGATTTGTCATTAATTTTTTTTATTATTTAAGCTTTATTTTCCATATAATTACAATTTTAATTAATATATCAAGTTGAGACTAATTTGTTTTCCTTATACATATGGTCCCCTGTGGGTAACTATCAGCCTCCTCCAACTTGCTCCGTTGTCCTCTATTCGCAGCCACGCTCATCCAGTTTTCCCCGGCCACTTCTTTAATGTCATCAGACCATATTTTTTTTAATTCATTCTCTCATCATTACGCAGTATAAAACAAAGTCGAGGTCTTTAAAACTACGCAACGGATTTTGAAGCGGTTTTTTAATAGATGGAGTGATTCTGGAGGAAGGTTTATATGTATAACTAGCTGTTACCGCGACTTCGTCCGCGTGAAATTTAATAAAAGAATTTTCAAAATAAAAGTAGCCTAAGTTACTCCTTATTACATTAGCTACCTGTTAAAAAAGCTACCTGTAAAAAATGTTATTTTGGTGTATGTACCGTATTTATATTCATATGCATGTAGTAAAAAACGGTTATTTCAATATTACAAACAGACACTCCAATTTTATTTACTAAAATATTTTTTTTTACAATTTTTGTCTGTCTGTCTGTATGTAATCGCTAATCTCTGAAATGGTTGGACCGATTTTGACGGGACTTTTATTGGCAGGTAGCTGATGTATAAAGGAGTAACTTAGGCTACCTTTATTTTAGAACAAATTCTTTTATTTTAGAAAAATAAAGTTAGATTTCACGCGGACGAAGTCGCATGTACAGCAAGTTATTAATATATTGCGATGTAAAGGTTAAGATTCCCCGTAGCCTTAAATGTCACTGGCATAGTGCAATTTAAGGCTACGAAGGCACGAGGATACAATCCAGTATCCAGCAATGTATGAGAGCTACTACAGGCTCACCATGAGTATATATGTGTAGCGTTTTCCATCGTGTGGGCCGGTGGCTTGGTTGCCATTATAATTTCGTCAAATAAAACAATGTTAATATTTGGCACCATACATTCCGGTCGAGGCGCACGTGCGCTCTTTCCGATTTGCGCGGAACCGGCGCGGCGCGGCGCCCGCATCCTGCATCCGCTTGATTCATCTTCTTTGTGTTGAGCACGCACCGTTCACCACACGCCACGCCAACACTACACGTATTTCAGATATTCCTGTTACTAACTATAAAATGTACACCTACCCCACACAATTTTGATTGGTGTTCGTACATCGAATGGAATGGATCGATGGAATGGAATCGATGTATTCTTGACGTATCAATCAAAACATTACGGTTATGTAATCTCACTAAGATATAATGAGAGAGTGTCGCGGCGTAGACGCCTGTAAAAAAATATAAATCAAATAGTAGTAAAGGTTTTTAAATAAAAACGTTTTTAATTTTTCTATATGCAATGTCATATAGAAAATTTAAAAACGTTTTTATTTAAAAACTTGAAGAATACATTGGTAATCTGGTCGATCCTGTCTTTGTTTTTTTTTTGTCTTCATGGTTTAGCACAACATTTACTTGCAATGGTCGCGGATTCAATTCCTCGTACCTCGTCTGAATGTTTTTTATTTTTACCTATATTATGTATTACCAAAAAAAATCACATTATATTTAACGTTTTAAAAACGGCTACTTTTTACTTCACAAAGATATTTTATGGATGCTTTGATTTGCGTAGAATTAAAATTTATATTTAGTGGCACTAATAATGCAGAAACAACATATAACCCAGCAATGAAGTGCTCGTACGAGCAAGGAGTCCTTCAGCAGGGCCGCGAGGGACGGGGCTACTCCACCGTTCCAGTGTTCACATTGTCCATTGTAGCGAACGTGGCAGTTCACTCTTACTCTGAGAGAATGGACGTAAACTTCGTGTTGACGGTTTAATGGCTCTATATACACAATCCAGTCTGCGAGCGTAATATTGTTATGAGTACTAGTGAGTGCAAAAGTCGATAGTTTATTATTGTATTTCATTGTGTTGTACAATAATGTGCCTTCAGGATTATTATCCCGGACTGGAGTAATCACAGGTATAGTTGACAACGCCTGTACATATGTTGATTCAGTCTCACCTATTTCAGACACTAAGCAGCTAAGAAATCTGTTTAGTGATGCTGTAACCTATTTAGATTGTAAGGGTGGAGTTCTCTGGAATGGAAACGTAATAAAAACGTAAAAAAATACTAAGTGTGAAAACTAGGGATTAAGTTTAAACAAAATTTAGTAGAATCGGTCTATAAGTGTACGGTTACCGTGAGTGAAGTAGGTTTATTGCGATTTTTCGTTGAACCATCTAGTAGCGGTAGCTGAATAAATTACTGATAACTACTGAAATTGACATCGCTGTAGGAGTGAATGGAGATTCACTTCGGCTAGTACAACATAGTTATAACGTCGAGAGATGTAAACACGTTTTTGCCATAAAATGACTCGTGTAAGACCCGATTAACTATATTAATAATACTTTTGGTTAGCTTATAATCTAGTTTGACTTTCAAACAGAAAGCTTGCACTTGCAAATATTGTTTTCTAAAAATATTTTCATGGGTCGTGCACATCTCTGGCTGGTGTGGCGCGGTGTGTGTCAGTGCATCGTACTGTATGTACATAAATACGTGGTATGTTGTACTGTGAATGCGCTAATGATGTCATGTCCCATTCACCGGCGGAATGCCGGCCTTGCCCTGCTCCTGGCGCGACCGGGACTCCCTACTCACGCCACTGTACCATATTATCACGGTTTACTATCGGTTATCACCGTGTTCCGCAGGGGGGAAAGGGGATTGTTAGTAATGTGGATAGATGATCTCATTGCTAGCAATGTACCCTGTCAGGTTGACCTCTACGCGGTCCCCCCCCTGGAAACCATCGTGATAAATTCTTATTGAATTTATCACGATGGGCTAACTAACCTGACCTCATACTTATCTTATCATTCTCCACTGGTACCTCGCCAGCGAAAACCGTTAGCGTAGCCGGGTGCACCATTTCATTAAAATCCATAAAAAAAACACTATTCCGCACAATCAACGGATTTTTAAGCATACAGTGGCCGATATTTTAATTAAAAACATGTTTAAACATTCACTTAATTTTTAATAGAAAATGCCATTCATTAGTATTTCATCGAGATTTTTTTCTTTTACTTTACATAGGTTTCAATAAGAGATCCTTATTATTGTCTAAATAACAACTAAAGGTCCCAAAAAGTATCGCAAAAAATAGACTGAAGTTGGGTTACTATTTGCGTGAATAACAATGTATTTTTTTTGTAGCGACTTAAATTTTTTTGTGATAAAATGAAGAATAAAAGGACAAAAAAGGATCGATTGGGATTTGTTTATTTCCATTCTTCTCAATTATTAATTTATAGGTATTATTACTAAATGACAAAGTTATCATGGTGGAGAGTTTTTTTATAACATAGGGGTCAAGCGAGCTTGCGGCTCACTTGATGGTACGTGATTACAGCCGCCCATGATGACCCCGCAACACCAGGGGAATTGAAAGTGCGTTGCCTGCCTTTTAAAAAGGAATAAGCTCTTTTCTTGAAGGTTTCAATATCGTATAGGTTCTGAAATACCATTGCTGGAATAGAATAGAATAGAAAATCATTTATTCAAATAAACTTAATTTAAGTGGCAAAAATTTGTTTTTTATCTGGAAAAATGTGTGTTGCAAATAATCAAGGGAACGCACTAATTTTTGGGTCACCGCCATTGGCCAAATATAAATATGAGATTAAATCATTCAGATGATCAGCATAGTATTTTAGTTTAATCAATGTCTTTGTTACACAAAGAAAATGCACAGAGATTTGATTACCAATGATTCATTATATTTGGGAGTGGTACAGAGAGTGAATACGTGTGCAGGTCGCGGCTGGTGCTCGGTGGCGATGGTGGCGGTGGTGGCTCGCTCGTCGCCGGAGTTCACGCCGCAGAGCGTGGCGGTGGTGGCGGCCGTCCACCAGCACGCCACCCTACACTGTGAGATACAACACTTGGCTGATAAGTCCGTGAGTATTTACATACATGCCCTTTGACATCATTATCATATCATCATCATCATCATCATCATTACATAGTATAAAACAAAGTCTCTGTCGCTGTCTGTCCGTCCCTATATATGCTTAAATCTTTAAAACTACGCAACGGATATTGAAGCGGTGTTGAGTGATAGAAGTGACTAGATTAATGTCTTCTTTCTACATATAATAATCCTGGACTATTTACACAGCGCCATCTAGTCTAAGTTATAATCACGGTATATATATATACCGTGATTATAACTTATACTCGACGCATTCCCATTCTATCAATGATTCCTTTAGTAGTATTCTTATTTATTAATTGTTTCTACGGCTGCATACTCTTACAGCCTGTCAAGTGTCAAGAACTTCACAAGAAGACAATAAATTGACATAACCATATTCAGTAATCATATTTTGGTAATTACTTAGTAACATCTAATACCTAAATATGAATAAACATCCTAAATATTGATCTGAAATCTGTTAGTTTGTTGAAAGTTCCGTGACAAGTCTGACTCGGATCCAATATATGAAACACAAATATATTTGTCTATATTTAGGCTGCGTTACGCGGACTCGCTGAAATCTGTATTATGTATGATCGGAACCGTAAACATTTTGATGTGTGGGTACCAGAATATCTGATGAATCTGCGATCACTCGCCAGATATAAACTGTGAAATGCCCGCGATGAGAAGTCGTTGCCGAATTAGCGCGCACTATGTCAGGTATGTGACGACTGACGAGGACGCCTGAAATATTTCAGCGCGGTTCAGGTGTGACGTCACCAGCGCCGCGGTCCATGTGAGCGCGCTGATGCGAGCTGACACTGATCGTGAGCTATCCCAAAAATGCCGGTCATCGACTCGGGCGCGGGCGCGGGCGCGGGCGGCTCGCGCTCCTCATACATACATGCGTTGTATGTATGTATGTATGTATGTATAAGAAGAGCAGCGTGCCGCGTATAAAAATGTGTTTGGGGGCCCTTACGAGGGGTAAAGATTTATCACAAAAGGAAAAAAATGCATAAAATTAAAAGAAATATTTATTCATAATCATTATCTACCTGTCATTTTTTCCAAAATTTTTACAAACAACTGATTTATAAAGCCTTTTATAACTGATGCCTTAAAAAAAATCCTGTTATCTGTGGAATAAATAAAAATTTGGGAAATTATTTTTTGCTTACGCACGTTGGGGGCCCACGTGGCCTGGGGGCCCCGTATAATGGACATGGCAGATACGGCGGTAGCTACGCCCCTGGTATGTATGTATGTATGTATGTATGTATGTGTGTATGAGTGTGGCACGCGTACGCCGCGCGTGCTGCCATAATACTTCCCGGAAACACCATGTGCCAAATACTATAATTTTCGCGATTTTCATCGTATATATAACTTTCGATACCGCTGCGTAGTAAACATGCGATTTAAAGATTAACCGCATTTCGTAGTCGTATGTGATCATGAGTCACTCGACCCGGCAAGGACGCCCGGCCAGCTCCCACGTTTGAAACATATTAACTCCGATATTGACAAGATAATATCAACAAATATGTTTGTAGAGCAGATTACTTTTATAAATTATTTATCTATTACAAAAGTTTTAAGTATATTTAGCGGATTTATTACGTTATAGACATACATATCAATTCAATTTAGTTGTGGATGGTGCCGAGAACGTAACATCTCATCGTTATCTTAATCTGTTCATGTTTTTGTTGTTCACTATCCTTCAACACAAAGTTTTAACTTTCACTGACTGTCGGCAGGTGTCGTGGGTGCGGTCGCGCGACCTGCAGATCCTCACTCACTCGGGCGTGGTGTTCACGATGGACGGCCGGGTGTCGACGACGGTGGACGGCAACCGCACCACCAGCCGCCACTCGCTGCACATCGACCGGCTGCGGACCAGCGACGCGGGCCGCTACGAGTGCCAGCTCAATACCGATCCCAAGATGAGCTTGTTCTTTAACCTCACGGTGCTAGGTGAGTTGTATACTACAGACGACATAAAGCAGATGATTCCCAATTGTATTTTAATGAATGTATTTACCCAACATAACAATTTTAAGAGAAAAGAGATTGTTAGTAATGTGGACTAATAATTCCATTGCTAGCAATGTACCAACATTGCTATTGCATTATATGCATATTAGTCACCATGTCAGGATGACCTCCACGTGGTTGTCCCTGGACCACCATGACAAATTTTCGGAGAATTTGTCAAGATGGGTTAACTGATCTGACCTCGTATTCAACTTATCATCCTTCACTGGTACCCGCCAGCATACACCATTAGCGCAGGTGGTGCACCATTTCATTATCATCCATAAATAAAACGTAACAATTTTAAACTGATTTTTATTACAAAATTGTAATTGTTATGAATTCTTAATTGTATTAAAAATAACGACTATGTAGATCGTCAGTTTTGATCTATCGTACTTTGTGTACAGAATATGCAAGAGTATGAATTTGTGACGAGGTCCTCCGAGACAGAACAAAACTATCGGGCGAGGTCCTATTTGAGTTTGTGTTCACAGATGAGCCGGTGCCAGAGACAGTGGTGACGCTGCAAGGTCCCCCGGTGGTGAGGGCCGCGCTCGGGGGCACCGTCACTCTCGAGTGCGAAGCTCGCTACGAGCCTCCGCCGCGGGAACTGCCTCTACCACCACTCGACATTCACTGGCTGAAAGATGACGAGATTATAGACCTACAGGTGAGGCACTACCACATTAATTTAATAGAACTAACAATCGACATAGAAAAATAGAAATATCAATAAAAGAATATATGAAACTTAAAAACTTTAGTCGGAGTGGGAATCTGATGTACAGTATGTGGTGTGGTGTGCGACAGAGTCCTCGGGGCGGGGAGGGCGGCGGCGTGTGGCTGGACACGGAGCGGTGGGCGGCGCGCGCGGTGTCGCGGCTCACGCTGGCCGCGCTCGGGGCCCCCGCCGCCGGCCGGTACACGTGCCGCGCCGGGGGCCGCGCCGCCGGTCTCACGCTGCTGCTCGCAGGTACCCTGTTTACCGACTATGTTCTGTTACCGAGCAACGTAACGTGCTTTCATGTTATGACCGTGCCTCTTGATATTACTACATGAAGTTTGGCTGCTTCCAAACATATCGTAAACGGGATCATTTACCGCCGACGGTCACGAAGATAAGTATGGATTTTTAGAGGAAAGAATGATCAAGTGTGTATGTGTATTTGCAGAGGGAGACCTGGAGGCGATGCAGCGTGACCAGGCGGCGGCGGTCCGCGCCAGCCCCGCGCCGCCGCCACGCCGGGCCCACCTCGCACTGGCGCTAGTACTCGTACCAGCCGCTGTCCCGGCGCTGCGCATACTCAATACCTAATCGCATCGACGACTTAACGGACTGTTACGTTTCTGTATATTTTGTATTTCTGTAAATATTGTAAATGACTGCTATTTATAATAGAGTTGGTGTGACCGAAAATATAGCTCGTTAATAACGGTTTAATGTCGTTTGTGTTGACTAAATTACATTTGACGTGGTCGCGGAGGATGTAAGTGGGATACGGTTGGCACGCGCCCGCGAGCGGCGCCGCGCGTGGAGCTACATACTTGGGGCTCTAATAAGAACGCTATTAGAGGCAGCGACTATTAGTGTGATTGTTTGTTTAGAGAATTGGAGCGTCCGCGTCCGCGCGGGCACGCGCCGCCCGCCTACCTACTAGTACACGTACACGTACACGTACACGTCCACGCGCCGCCGCCTACAGAAATAGTCTGTTTTAGTATATCGTTACATAGCTCGCTTGTAAATAACGTTAAATTGGACAGTTCCGTCAATCGTGGGACGTGATCGGCGGCGTCTTTATAACAACAGCGGCCGTATTTAGAACGGACGGTTCCGTTTCACGTGCTACGTTGATTATTTAAATATCGGACGCCGATCACAATAACACAATAATAGAGCAGCCCTTTGTTGAATACAGACATTAAGTTGAACTATAAATTCAAACTATCTTTATTCATGTAGGTCTATTACAGACTCTTATGATATGTCAAATCTACCGTCAGTTCGAAATGATTTCGAGATGAAAAGAACTGACAAGAAACTCAGCTCGTATTATTATCAAATAAATGTTGTACATGTTTACAATGATACAGATATATTTTAAAATTCAAATTTGGGAGTAATAAAGTATATTGTGAGGAATTAGCCTAGTTTAAGATGTACACATGCGATTTTGAGCAGATAACTATAATATTATTAAGATACGGACAGGGCAAGTCTTAACATTATATATTTATATATCCTCAAAACAATTTTAATGAGATCGTAAAAAATATTATAAGTAGAAATTTTAAAATTTGGCTCTTAAATCAAAATAGAGCTGCCAAGTCATATTTGTGGCGCCTTAACTGTTGGCAAACATTACGCAGTCACTAGGTGCCAGGCAGGTAGCCATCCACTACCGAATATACATACAATTTTAATATTACGTATTACTACGATGTAGGGTTACCAAGCACAAATTTAAAAAATCAGGATTCAAAGTTCAAAAAACCAGGACTATCCAGTTTAAAAACAGAACGCAGTAATAGTGTTGCAACAGTTATATTAACACGTAGTAACATTCAAGTAATTAATATAATCAGGTTATTAATAAAAAGTATTTGATACAATTATACTGTTGAAAATCAGTAATTAAGAGGCGCGTGTATTTAAAAATTCAGGATGCTGACAAATAACTATTCAGGACTACCCAGGACACATCAAACACTAAGACACGTCCTGGGAAAACAGGACGGTTGGTAACTCTACGGTGACGTAACATTTGGCAGAGTGTGTGTTGTTCAATGGACACGTTCGGTCGGAGCACACATCCCCCGAGGGAATCTTTGTACAAAACAGATATGGAGAAATAAGCGTGATATATGCCTCAGTTTATAAAAGAGTTTAGTAGCAAATTCAGACGGAGGAGAAGAAGAATTTCAACAAAAAGACCAAAACTATGGCTTGGGAGCGTAGTCATTGTTGCCTGGTAATTGACGAAGCATGGAGGGAGGTCCCGAGTCGCTAGCAACAGTAATATCCAGCACTGAATAAACCCACTGAGGTGATGTGTCTACACAAAGTAAAGTGAAGACACAAGTCTTAAAACATATAACATCTATACTAATATTATAAAGCTGAAGAATTTGTTTGTTTATTTGTTTGTTTGTTTGTTTGAACGCGCTGATCTCTGGAACCACTGGTTCGAATTAAAAAAATATTTTCATGTTGGATATTCCATTTGTTATAACATTACGCTACGACCAATAAAAGAGAAGCATCAGTGAAAAATGTTACAAAAACGGGGAAAATTATTCATATTTGAGGGCTAACATTGCATACGCTGCGTAAACTGTTCAAGTTACCCAAAAAATATGTATGAGGTGTTCTTGATAACAAGGCGAACGAAGACGCGGGCACAGCTAGTGTAATATATTCCCGGTCCTAAAAAAGGCGATTTTAAATCAAATTTCCATTACAAATTTCTATTTAATTTTTTCAGTTTAATGTATTGGCTTGGCAATTAATTAGTGTTTACTTAAAACAAAGAATGTTCCCGATACAGTCTCGGGAACTAATTAAGTTTCTGTACGTAAATTGTCCTTACTATATAATATTATAAATGCGAAAGTAATTCTGTCTGTCTGTCTCGCTTTTGCTCCAAATCTAGTGAAACGATTTAAATGAAATTTGGTACACCGATAGTGTAGACCCTGAGAAAGGACATAGGTCGTTTAATGCGAAAAAAGTATTGTAAGGGGGTGAAAGCGGAGTAGAAGGGTTGTATCGACATTTTCAAAGCTAGAAACTTGATACTTATTTTTTAGGCTGTTGATGAAACATAAATAAATATGACCTTTAAAGTTTTACCTTTAAGGGAGTAAAATAAAATTGGGGATGAAAGTTTGTATGTAAAATCGTCATTTTTGAAGCTAGAACGACGCAACGTTTTTTTTGCCAGATTATTGTTTTTTTTTTATTTGGTCAGTCACTATAACACGCGGACGAAGTCGCGGACACAGCTAGTTAACTATGTAGCTAAATTCCAATTGTCATGCATGATAACTTACTCAGTGTCTCTTCATAAAGTCATATGAACAAACCGTCTGCAATAGCTTCGTCGCCAAACAACTGTAAGAATATATTTTGATAGTTATTTAGCTGCGGGTACTTACAGTTCGTAACATAATACGAATAACTGAATATAAGAATTTAGTTCGGTACTGTGTATGCCGCGCCACGCCGCGCCGACTCAACAAGTGTTACTGTACGCTACGACACCAACGCTACTTTGTTTTAATACATGTAATATCGAGGGGATCGTTATGTGAACTACCCTCATTCTCCCCATCGCTAATAATATACCATAGTAAATATTTCTTATAAATTCCTGCAAACATATTTCAATCTCATCGTAGGCTATCTTTCTATTTATATCGTTTGTTGTTGCATAGTCTTCTTCTTCTTTGTCGATTTCTAAAAGCTGAGAGTGTTGATCACCAGGAATGCGTCTTCCAATCAAATCTTTCCAGGCATATTTATCCTGTGCTAAGTGCACCGCCGACAGCATCTGGTACAGGATCAGTCCATTCTGCAGGAGCCCTACCTCTCCCTTCTTCCGTCCACGTGGGCTATCATTATAGAGATACAGTTGCATAGTCAGAGTATCCATAGAAATATGTATACACTGGTGGCTATAATTCGCAGTGGTAGAAGAATAGAATCGTTAGATGGATTTATGGGATAACCAATGACTGAATAAGGAATATGTATAAAAGGGGAACTTGAAGTTTTTTTATTTTTCCATTTAACTTGAAGGTTGTGCAAGTAATAGAGAGCTTGCGAGGTAACAGATTGTCTTACTAAGGAAATGTCATGCGGACACGCGAGGACCATGTCTTAACGAACGTACTTAATATGAACGTGGATATAAAGGAAAACGCTGGATGGACTGTATGAAAGATGACAAGCCTAAAAGGAGAGCGAGCTCAAATATAACGGCCGATAGGTATCAGTTGAAGTAGATGACTACTGTATCTACTCCAAATATTAGGATAAAGACACGACTATCATGATGAGCAGGATAGCACTCTACCAATGATCTACAGTGCTTGAAATTTTAAAACAAATTGCTAAAGCTAATAATGCTGACTGAATATGTCTTGACAATGGAGTATGACTAAGTGAGACGTAACAAGAAGCAACAAGCAGTCTAGTTCCTAGCCTGTAATACTAAAGGGATCTCAAACTTATATTGAGTATTTTCAGCTCGATTGCATGTTAAGTAGACACAGGAGTTGTGTATTCCAACCAGTAACGTCGCATCTATTCGATGAGAATTCAACAGGAAAATGCCGGAAACCCGAGCAATGAAATTTTACGTTGACTGGCTATAATCATTCGGTTGAATAGAAACAAGTTTTACATCACGAAAATTGTCTCATCTTGAAACGGTTTGAGAGTTAGGGGAAAAAAATAAGTATTTAGAAATGGTTACTCTTATAAGAGATATATGTACGTCAGCGTGTATATTATATTATTTATGAACACATTCAGTTATTCAGGGGAGCTAGCAATTATATTAAAATATTTGTTTGTCTTGTCGTCGTTTAATGAGTGACAATGAGAAATAACTTGCTGTTACATGCGACTTGGTGTCCTTTTTTTAACATAAATATTCATTGTCATAATATTGTCATATAAGGATCCATCCTGAACTACTTGTAACCACCGAACGAACTTAACATATCTTTCACCGAAATTGACTTTGTAAAAAGTCATCAGCGTGGATACCTGTGAAATAGAAATAGAAATAATCTTTATTCAAATAAACTCATTACAAGCACTTTTGAATAGTCATATTTTGATTCTACCACTCATTCGGAATGCAGATTCATCACAAGAAGAATGAGCAAGAAACTTGTGTGTTGCTCTTTTTAATAGATGTTTTTTTTTATATAAATAATTACAGTATAACAAGTAAGAGGCATGCGATAATCAACATAGAAGTCGCTACGCACTCATTATTAATGTAATCAGATAATATTGTCAGTGCTATAGATTTAAAGTTTTTCTATAAAAACATTATTATCGTTAACGAATTCTTCAATTTTATAGTAAGCTTTTTTGCAAAGGAACTGTTTTATTTGACATTTAAATCTTTTTCTGGCAGATTTATAACAGACTCTGGTATTTTATTGTAAAACCTTACGCAATTGCCATAAAACGAATTACTAACTTTAGCCAAACGACATTTAGGTAAAATCAGTTTGTTATTGTTACGTAAGCTTTTATTAGTGCAATCACTAACTCTTTTGAAACTGTCTATATTC